CTGTTCAGGTATTCTTCATCACCCTTGCCAGGGAAGGAAAATCTCTTGCGCTTCTGGCTCAGCATTTCTCAGCCTGTCTTTAGAAAGATGAGCTTGGGTGTACTTGTACAGGTTCTGACTGGATTGTATCTTGCCAGTAAACATCATGGAATATATGTCAAAATACTGCAGCAGATAAACTCTAGCAGGGATCCTGAAGAGTTACAAGGATGAAGTTAAGCAGCTTTTCAGTTGCCTTGGATAAGTAATCATAATAAACAAAGCAAGAAGTTGTTGCTTCCTGTCTTTTTTAGTAGAAAACCAAAGGTAAGACTCAGCCATCACATTCTTGGTTGGGAACTTAAATGCAAGTTAAGTTTTTCGTTATGTCCAGCTTAGATTGTATATTTGAGTAACTGCTTTATGAGGATGGGCGGTTTTCTTTGGGAATGGGGAAAAAAGTGTTCATGTTGTCTGCTTGGTGTTTGGCTTTAACGTGGTGCTGCATCTTTTAGCAGCTGTATAAATGAGTATTATTGCAAAAGGTGGTTTTCTTCATAATGCAAACCACAGTCATTAAAAAAGAAAAGGAGAGGTGCAAGGCAAGGTCTTTCTGAAGGGGGACTTTTTACAAGGGCCTGTAATGACAGGACAAGGGGTGAATGGATTTAACCTGGCAGAGGCAGATTTAGGTTAGACATTGGGCAGAAGTTCTCTACTATGAGGGTGCTGAGGTGCTGGCACAGGGTGCCCAGAGAAGCTGTGGCTGCCCCATCCCTGGCAGTGTTCAAGGCCAGGTTGGACACAGGGGCTTGGAGCAAGCTGCTCTAGTGGAAGGTGTCACTGTCTGTGGCAGGGGGTTGGAACTGGATGAGCTTTAAGGTCCATTCCCACCCAAACCATTCTGTGATTCCTCAAAATCCAAGTATTTTTCTCCCCCAGCTTTATTCCACTCTGCTAGCACAGACTTTTCCTCACGTGATCACTCCATCAAAGTGACACAGGTCGCATTGTACAGAACTGTTGCCACAGCATTCAGGCGTGATGCTCATGTTGAGCTCTCAGCATCTCTATCAAGCAACCAAAAAAAGCCTGATTGGAATATGCTTTGTCCTTGTGACCAGTTTGCCTTGGAATTAGCCTTTTCCCAAAGCAGGGAATTATGTTGAGACTGCCTCAGAGAGCAGGTGCTGCCTGTAAAACTACTTCTCACATTAAGATGTAAGTGGTTCAGAGTAACCATGTGCTGTTTCTCTATGATCAGGAGTAGCAGCCTGATTTGTACAGGGAAGCAGCAAAGGCACACAGCCTCCACCATACCTGTGATCTGAAGTTAGTTTAGCTTTCCCTAGTTCACAATCTCACTGTATCATGCAGTGTTCCAATACTGGTCTGCATCTAAGGATCGATCTTGTCCGTACCTCTAACCCGTGTTAGAGAGCCTCACAGAGCGAGTGGTTTACGAGGCTGTGAATTACTGTTATCTCCTGAAGTCATCAGCCAACAGAACCACTTACCTGTGATAGTAAAAACATAAAATCAAACTTTTACTCTGCAGTACTATCTTTAAGAATGAAAATGAATGGCTTGGTGGTTATTGCGAGTGTTTGACAACATGTAGTTAAGACACGGCAAACAGATCCTGGTGCTTTTTAAAGTAGGAGGTTCAAAAACCATCTTCATTCCATGGGCTGCTTTCATTTTGGTATCAATTCAAGTGATAGTTATTCTCTGTAATCAAAATGCATGTTCTGGTATTTAATGGTCCAACTTGGACAAACCACATTTTTTAGATATTAATTTCTTAGGGTGAAAGGTGAAGGAACAAGAAAAATAATCCCATTTCTTAATGTTTTTAGGAAGTTGCAAAGCCTGATAACTGTTTCCAGTGTAACTGATGAATATGCGCATTGTAGATACGTATTCTAAGTGTTGGCATTGGCGATGTCAGGGATGAGCTATGTACTCCTTAGTGTTGTGTTTAGAGGAGGCAACAGTTGCAGTTATAGCCTGTGCTTCTCATTAAACTGGGGGTTCGCAAATTAAGTGTAAGACTGCAACTGTTTCAAAATCCAGCAGGACACTCAGGTGCCATCAGTGAGTTCTGTTGTATGTGTGCATGCATGCATAAGGAGTGTCCTCATGGAAACACCCGCTACCCACTTCATAGGCAGGGTACAGCATACCACATACAGCTCTCCAGAGTCAAAGGACCAGCTTTTACCTGGCTTTTGCCTCCTACTGTCACAACTTGCAAACATTGCCTTCTGTTTGAAATCAGTTACAACAGGTTTACGTTGTGTCATTTTGTTGCATAGAATTATAGAATAGTTAGGGTTGGAAAGGACCTTAAGATCATCAAGTTCCAACCCCTCTGCCATCGGCAGGGACCCCTCACACTAAACCATGTCACCCAAGGCTCTGTCCAACCTGGTCTTGAACACTCAGGGATGGAGCATGGTTGTATCCCTTTCAGTAGAAACAATCCCCGATAGGCTTGCATGTGACAGCAATAGCTTCTATGGTGTTCTTAGGAGAGCAGCCTTTAGGGATGGTGTTTATCTTGCTTGCCATCTGAACTACAGCCAGAAGCACACTCAGACTGGCCACAGAGAGGAATCAACAGAGCACCAGAAATACTAAAAAAGAACCAATTTCATCTTCCCTATGGACCATTTTTTTATGCTGAATCTCAATGTTATGATCTATTGCCCTGTAGCTGACTCCTTCCTCTCCCTGCCCCTGTCCTAGCCCAGTTCCTGGTATCCTTCTAATGACCAAGGCACAATTATTTCTCCAGATCCACACACATCACACTTAAACTGGGTGAAAAACGGTAGAATCAGCTACTGGCAATATGCAATTTCACACAGGACATTCTTCAACCACGAAGCCCATTTAAGCAGATCCCACACCAAATGTATCCTCCAGACATTTACAGCCCAACAGCAAATACAATCCCACTGACATCGATTCTCTTTAACCTCTTTGACTACAAACTCCAGAGAACTTCAGTTTTTAAGTATCACTACATTTACAAAAAAGACAAATATTAGGAAGAAGCTCTTCCCTGTGAGGGTGCTGGCACAAGCTGTGGCTGCCCCATCCATGGCAGTGTTCAAGGCCAGGTTGGACACAGGGGCTTGGAGCAGCCTGCTCTAGTGGAAGGTGTCCCTGCCTGTGGATGGGAACTGGATGAGCTTTAAGCTCCCTTCCAACCAAGTCCATTCTATGATTACGATTTTGATGAGAGTATTCTGGAGTTTGGGTATTCCAGGTTGAGAGAGAGGCAAGGCACAATAGGTAAAAAAACAACCAGTTTATCATTATAGGAAAAGATAGGGAGAAAGATCTGGCAAAGGGTAAAAGAAAGATGGATATTTTCAGTGAATGTTTATCTTACCAAAGACCATGTGAAGCCAATCAGGAAACCAGCTCCGAGAGATGTCATCACAGTGCAAGGTGGCAGGCTCAACCTTAGCAGGCGTCCCAGTGGAGGCAACATTGACCTGGGTGATGAGATTCTGCCTCCTCTTGCTGCATGAAGCTTGGGCTTTTATACCAGCAAAAATGCACACTCATTCCGACGCAGGGGGACAGCGTACATTGGAAGCAATAGCCAGCTATACAAAAAGGGTCTCCGGGGGTCAGGACTTCTAGGGGATTTTCAGGAAGGAGCCACCGTGGATCATTATCTCGTGTCTTGCAACTGGTATGAGACTCCCTTTTGCTAACAGCAGTGTTAACTCCCCTATTTTCAAAGTTATTTTCCCACAACTCGTGCCAAACAGTACTGTTCTATTTTTGTGTGTTTCACCACGGACCATTATCTATTGTCACTGACACATGAGAGGCATGGGAAACCCAAGACTCGGGAAGTACCGAGTGATGCCAAGTGCTGGAATGTGGTTCCCTGTGTTTCCTTTGACACTGTCTCTCCAGGCAGGCAGAGACTGCAGGAACACGATTTGTTTTTTCCTCCCAGATGCTGCTAAGCTCTTCAGAGGAAAGAGAGAGAAGTTAATTTAGATTATGTTAATTTAGATTGCTACTACAAGTCACAGCTCTGGAATCAAACTGTAGAGGACTAACAGAGAACTGAGCATGAAATTGCTTCCTATTTAAATACTAAACAGTCTTCAAGCAACCGTGGTGTGGAGGAGCACCAGAAGAGGACAGTGGCTTAACAGTGGTGGCACTTGAAGCTACGGAACATACAGTTTAACACCCACACACATTTCATCCCTCAACAAGGTATTTTCTACAACTGGAAGCCAAAAGGCAGAGCACACTGCAATGCTTTTCTGTTCTTAAGTAATATTTTTTGTCAATTGTTCCATTTTATCAAGCTGCAGACCACTGTCACTAGAACAGTGAACACACAACACTAGCACTACCTGGGGCCCAAAAACCAACAGGCTGTTTTAAACTGTGCTCTACAAAGTGTTGAAGATGAGAAGAAATCAAAGAGCACAGCACGTGCCTCACTCTGGAGCTTGAAGTTGTCCTTCCAGCACCCTCAAACCTTTTGCTACACTCTAGTGCTCAGCGTGGAAATAATTTGATGAAGGATTCTGGTTTAACAATATTAACCAGCCATCAAACTTCTGAACCTAAAAATGGGGCAGAGGAAGAAGATGCAATAGACCACAGAAGCTTTTATGTAACTGTTCTAGTCCTCCATGGTTTATTGATCAAACATACCCACATTAATAAATTATGAAGAAAGAAAAACAATTGTAATAAACAAGGAGTGGTGATTCCATGAAGCACAGCTCTTCAGTTCAAGGAATAACACACCTTTGTTTCATCCTCACCACAACATTAATTTGACAGACAGATGAGTAAGAACTGTTTTCCCCTACATACCCACATCCACTTTATCTTGTTTTCCAACTGACAACTCACACAGACAGCAACAACAGCACTTTCCCCTTCCTGTTTTCCCACTGTGTGTAATGAACCACTCAATTAAAGCAAGGCATTGATGAGAAGATGAAAAACACATTTGAGCCCATACATTTAAAGATCAACAAGTCTGATTTTATTACGATCTTGTATTCTTATCTGGATGGCACATAATTACAAAGAAACATTTACAATATATTTTTCAAGTATTAAGTTATGTCATTTCAAGGCTTTCACTTCAAAAAGCTACATTAATAACACACCATACAGATAGTACAGTTGGTTAAGAGTTTCAAATAACTTCCTCCCCTCTATTTGGTTTAAATATGATTCAGTAGGCACTAGAAATGCCTGCAGCCACTTACTTCCTGGGCACTTGCCCTTGCTCTTGTACCAGTATACACCATTTTGCATGTCAGAACATCAGCTACTCTCAGACACAGCACATGTGTAGTGTCTGTGAGCCATGTGCAGGTTCACAACAGAGACCAGAACTATGGCCCTGACTCCTACCACTTAGCAGCGATGCAGAAAGAAAGAATGCATATTTCAGTTAACTCAAACCCCACTTCTTGGCTGAAGTAACTGTAAAAATGCCACTGGAACATCTCATACTTGCTACATGAGCATTTCTCTTTTCATCAAGCATGTTAAACTTTAGAACTAAGCACGTTCCTGAAGCTTGAGCTTGGCAGACTAAGCCCAGGCTGAATCTAGCTCCATTATTTCCCTTCCGTCTATCAGCCAGTTCAGGTTTCAGTGGGTAACTCTGATTCTTGTGGCACTGGTGTAACCCATCCATTACAACAGGATTATACAATTCAGGACTGATTGCACAGTCCCACTGATGCTACCACTGAGGTATAAGGGAACATGTATCTCACTAAGTCTCTTTTGTGCTGGCAGTACACCCTGACCAGATGGAATTTTGCACACAGTGGAGTAAAACCTGTTTGATAGGATACTGGCTTTTATAGAAAACATCTTGGATGGCAGTAAATGATCACAGCATTCAACCTCGTTTGTTTTTGTTTAGCCAAAGACAGCAAAAGCCCTGTTACCTCTTTATTCTCATTTCTTATACTACCTTTTAAAATAAAGCAGGAAATGTGGCCAGCAGCTGGTCCCGTCTCTTCTGCCCCAACACAGCTGAATCCACTTTAGCATAAAGAAAAACAAGGATGCTAAATACACAGATACTTTATCACACAGTGATGTTTCACAAAGAAAAACCAGGCTCCTTTTATACTCATGAACACCTGATGGGGTCTAGCACCAATACAGCAAATGACTGGCTTTCACTTCCTACTCCAGCCTTAAACACAACTTTTAAGGCTTTAAGAAACAAGACTTCAGAAACACTAAATAGAATCTTTTTGTTTAAGAAAATAAATGAAAGTGGTTTAGGAAAGTGTATTCTTTGTGAAACCTCACTTTACATATTATCATTTTCACAGTCCTTCTTCCCCCAACCTGACATACATGTAAACAACCTAAACGTTAGAATACAACTGAAAAAACAACCCACTCGTCTTTTGTGATAGGGAGAAACACTGACTAGTACAAGAAAACACACACTACTGTTTGTTTGTCAAACTATTTTTCCTCCTATCCCAGTTAATTATGGAGCATCTTTCAAATCATGAGCCTCAAGATACAGATTTGCTCATCTCTAAACTGTGCTTAATTCTATCCAGTGATAGATTTCTTGATACTGTAAGAGGCTGAATTAAGAACTCTACAGTAAAATTAAGCACATGCATATACATGCAATACCTTTACAATTTAAAGCTACTGTGAAGTAACATGGGGACCTGAGTATGCAGGAGCACAGAGATGGGCTTAAGGGAAGCTAAAGTGACGAGTTACTTCAGTGCACTGCATTCTCCAAACCGCAATTCTGTTAGAGGTCCATGCAAAAATGTGACTCCTCTACATGAGGATTCCACTGTACAACTAAAACCAGTGTCTGGGTTCTGTTTAAGCAGGCAAAACTCTGCATCATGAATTAGAGCAAGCTAAGGAAGGGCTTTTTAAAGGTACCGTGCATCCCTAACACTAGATAGGATGTGAAATGAACAGGTCACAAATTCTCTCCTTTTAAAAATGCATTTTACTTACATTTTGTGGACAGTACCCTACATTAAAAGGCTGTTAATATCACATCCCCCTTATTAGCATGTTTCCCCTTTTCAGCTCATTGCTTAGTTCAAAACTCCTATTTCAAACGACAAGCATTTATAACTCCAAATGTAGCACATGTATTGGCTACTACATGCATATTCATTTAAGAAAGGAAAACAGCTAATCAGAATGATGCAATGGTAATTTGAGTTGTCATTCAGTGCTAGAAACATTTTGGCAGAGTAGGCCAAGGACCAGAGAAATCATTTCCTGAACCAGCCATTACAAGAGACTGGCATAAGCAAAGCAAGCTGTCTGATACCGCATTATGGGAATATATTGATCCTTACCAGGTTGCGAGGTGGAAAACGACTGTTCTTTAACCCCTACACAACGGAGCCTGGCAGGGCAAGCACCTAAAAGAGAAACTGTCAGAGAGGTTTTAATAGTAATGTATAACTGAGATGCAGTACAATTTCATATGCATGCTTTCTTTTGCCGATCATTACTATTTTCTTAAGTCTGTCCAGTGACGATGTCTTAATGAAGTTTTTGGTTTTCTAAGCAAGCATTTTCGGCTCCTCAGGTAAAGCAGGCTAGACATTATCTGACTCAAAGACCGGGTAGTCAACGTTATCTTTACTGGCAACTGCGAAGTGGAACCGAGCACACCTTCATGCATCAGGTCGGCATGATCTTTTCCACCCAAGTGGTGCAAAAAACGGGCTCTGGTGGCGGCACCTCTGCGTGTGTACGCAGGTCAGTTTGCATGACAATTACCGCACTGCTGTACGCAGCTCTGCACGACTCTTACACCAAACAGCCTCAGACCACCACCGTCCACACGCCAGCTTTACACGACCTTTAACCAAGGCCACCATCTGGCTCCCAACGTTCAAGAGATATTTCTTTCTTTCTTTCATTACCACGGCCACTAACGTGCCAGGCTCCCCTCCTCTGCACATCCCCCACTACCACCCCATCACCACTGTATTGATCCTTTTCCTCCGCACCATCGCCTGCTTCCTCCGCCGCGACACGAGGCCCCTGTTATAGGGGGGAGCACCCCACGAGTACTTGCAGCAGGTACTTGACCCTACATTTTGAAGGAGGCCGCTGCCCGCCGAGCACAGATGGAGCAGAACTCCACCGACACCTGATCCCGGTCCACGTGGAGGCAGATCCCGCCGGGGGATGCCCACTCCTCCTCCGTCTCCGTCACCACCGCCGCCTCCTCCAGGCTGGCAGGCCGGGAGCTGGGCAGGGCGTAGTCGTGGTCGCTGCTCTCGCCGGCAGGCTGGAGCTGGTGGTGATGGCGGCGCGGGCTGCCCGTGTCCCTGAAGAGGCTGGTGCTGAGCTGCAGCCCGCCGGCGCGGATCCCGGCTAAGCGGCTCAGGAGCTGCCCTAGGGCGCTCTGGTTAGCCAGCACGGCCCGCAGGTAGCTGCTCTCCCGCTCCAGCTCTCGCAGGCGGCGGCTCAAGCCGCGGTTGCGGTCCCGCAGCTGCCGGTTCTCAGCAGCCAGGCCTTGAAGGCGGCTCTCCAGCCCAAGCACGTACTGCTTCTTCTTCAGCCGGTTCAGCCGCGCCGCCGCCGCCGCCTTCAGCCGGCTCCCAGCCCCGCCATTCCTCCGCCCGACCGCCGCCGGCCGCTGGCCCGGGCCCGGCGGGGGCAGCGGCTCCGGTTCCCCACAGAAGCAGCCGCTCAGCTCCGCGTCCAGGTCCCAGTCCGGCCGGGCCGCCTCCAGCAGGTCTCCCAGCTCCAAGCCCGGGAACCAGTCCTCTTGCTCCCACACCTCCAGCGGGCCGCCGGGTGCCTCGGGCTCCTTCTCCTCCCGCCGCGGCGGCTGCTGTTGTTTGGGCCGCGCTGGGCCCGGGTCCCCTTCCCCGCCGCCATCCCGCCCTCTCGGGGCCTGCCCCGCGCCGGCTAGCGGCCAGACGGCACCCGAGGGGCTCGCCCCGCCGGAGGAAGCCGCCAGCAGCTGGGTGAGGCTGTGGCGCATGGCGGCGGGCGGGACACAACGGGAAGGAGCCCGACGAGAGCGGCAGCGGCCTCGTCCCCGGCCCGGCGCTCCCGCCGCGGTGCCTGTCGGGAAGCGGCCCGCTGTGAGGTGGGGGGGGGCGCCAGGCGACGGCGCCCGCGCGCGGGAAAGCGGCGGCTGGAAGGGGAGCTCCAGTGTGGGGGGAGCCCCTGTGCGAGGGGAGCCCCAGTGTGAGGGGAGCCCGCGTGGGAGAGGAGCCCCAGTGCGAGAGGAGCCCCAGTGTGAGGGGAGCCCCAGTGTGAGGGGAGCCCCTGTGTGAGAGGAGCCCCAGTGCGAGGGGAGCCCCAGTGCGAGGGGAGCCCCTGTGTGAGGGGAGCCCGTGTGGGAGAGGAGCCCCCCATGTGTGAGGGGAGCCCCAGTGTGAGGGGAGCCCCAGTGCGAGGGGAGCCCCAGTGCGAGGAGAGCCCCTGTGCGAGGGGAGCCCAGTGCGAGGGGAGGCCCTGTGTAAGAGGAGCCCCAGTGTGAGGGGAGCCCCAGTGCGAGGGGAGCCCCTGTGTGAGGAGAAGCCCCGGTGCAAGAGGAGCCCCAGTGCGAGGGGAGCCCCTGTGTGAGGGGAGTCCCTGTGTGAGAGGAGCGCCAGTGTGAGAGGAGCCCCCCTGCAATGGAAGCCGCAGTGTGAGAGGAGCCCCTGTGCAATGGGAGCCCCAGTGTGAAAGGAGCCCCTGTGTGAGAGGAGGTTCTGTGCAATGGGACCCCTTGTGCAATGGGAACCCCTGTGTGAGGGGATGTGGCGGCTCTGTCACCCACAGCCCCCTCAAGGGCAGGACGGGGGTGTCCCGTGGGGCTGTGGTGGGTTGGGGCTGTCACAGCAAGAGGCTGGCCCCTGCTCATGTTTAGGGTTTAGGCACTCTCATATTCAGGGGAGGGAAACGGGCACTCCCCGGTGCATGTCAGCTGGGGAAAACAGAGCAGCCAACGAGAGTCCCAGGCTTATGAGGAGAGATTGCAGGAGCTGGGCCTGTTTCGTCTGGAGATTGTAGAATCAATCAGGTTGGAAAAGGCCTTTAAGATCAAGGCCAACCATTCCCCAGCACTGCCAAGGCCACAGCTAAACCATGTCACCGAAGGCCTTGCCTACACGGTTTTTGAACACTTCCAGGGACGGTGACGCCAGCACTGCCCTGGGCAGCCTGTTCCAATGCCTGAGCACCCTTTAGGGAAGGAATTGTTCTTAATATCCAGTTTAAACTTCCCCTGGTGCAGCTTGGTTCAGTTCCTGAATCATGACCATGTATAGAATCACAGAATGGTTTTCGTTTAAAGGCACCTTAAAGCTCTTCCAGTTCCACGCCCCTGCCAAGGGCAGGGACCCCTTCCACTAGAGCAGATTGCTCCAAGCCCTGTCCAACCTGGCCTTGAACACTGCCAGGGATGGGGCAGCCACAGCTTCTCTGGGCACCCTGTGCCAGCACCTCAGCACCCTCACAGGGGAGAGCTTCTGCCTAAGAGATCATCTCAGTCTCCCCTCTGGCACGTTAAAGCCATTCCCCTTGTCCTGTCCCTATGGCCTCTCCAGGTTTCCTGTAACCCCTTTAGGCACTGGAGCTGCTCTAAGATCTCCCCCTTAAGGAGCCTTCTCCATGCTGAACCAGCCCAGCTCTCTCAGCCTGGCTCCAGAGCAGAGCTGCTCCAGCCCTCAGCATCTCCATGGCCTCTGGACTTGCTCAAGCATGTCCACATCCTCTTAATTTTAATACATAGATGCTGCTAAGTGGGATTTCTTCCTTGGAGCCTCAGTGTTACCTGTTACATGCCCAGCCTCTGTTGAACTTCAAGGAAGAATCAAATACAAAAGGGTCAAAAGGGGCTGAGCTTTTGTCCATCTTGGAAAATAATGTGCTTTTAACTGTAAAAAGTGAAAATTATGATAGAGCAGAAGTTAGGACCAAATATATCAAACTTGTACTTTACATTTTCCACCCTAATCTCATGTCTCAGGTTTGACTGGTTCAACCATCCCCGTTCAGATTTAACGGCTCTTACTTCTATAAACGCATAACAAAGAAACAGGCTACGGAACTCTTTGTAGGCTGCTTTAAGCCAGCAAGTGCATTACAGAGGAAGCAGATGATCTCGTGGAAGGGAACAGCGTGCAGTGGTGTGCCATGAGAGGCACTGAGAAAGCTGTAGTTACGCAACGAAATGACGGAGTTTGACATTCAGCGCTTTCTCTTTCGCCAGTAAATCCTCACTGTGCTTCCTGTAGGCATTGAAGTGCAGCGCGAGTTCATTGTAGGCCTGCTTGCTGCTTTCCAGTTCTCGCTGCAGCTCCTGCACCTTCAGCTCACTGTCCGCTGCTGCTGCCTCTTTCGCCACGCACTTCCCTGCTTTCCGCTTGGCTTTCTCTGCCGTCTCCAGCTTCTTCCACAGCTGCTGAATTTCCTGTTGCTTGTCCTGCAGAGCTTTGCCTCTCTCCGTGGCCAGGTTCACGAGCTGCTTTTTCTCCTCATTGGCCCTCTGCAGCCTGGCTCGCAACTCGCTGTCCTGGGCTTTCTGCTGGCTTTCCATGTGCTCTGCCTTCACCAGGGTTTGTTGGTGCTGCTCCTGTAGGCCTTGCAGCTGGTGCTTTAAGGAATCAACCTCCCAGGCGTAGGCACTGGCTTGCTGGCTCTTAGCTTCCAGCAGCTCCTCTTCCCGCTCCTGCGCTCTGCAGGTCTCATAAGCGCATTTCTCCTGTAAGGAGTCTAACTGCTCTGAGAGCTTCCTGGCCTGGGCAGCAAGCTGGAGCACTTCAGCTTCCTTCTCCTTCATAGCTTGACCAAAGAGCACTTGATTCTCCTGCCGCAGGCGCTTGTTCTCCTCCTGCAGCTGCATGTTCCGTTCCCGGTGTTCGTCCTTGAGCTGGATCATTTTTTCATGGTTGTCAGCCAGATCCTTGAAGCGCCACTCCAAACACTGAATCTGCTGGGTCTGGACTTTCATCTTTGCAGCATCCTCTCTCCTCAGTTTCTCCAGCTCCACGTTTTGTTGCTTCAGGACTTTGCATTGTTTGTATGCATCCTCTGCTTTTTTCTTCAACATACAGATGAGGTGATGCTGTTCTAGGTGTGATTGTAGCAACGCCTTCTCGCTCTTCTCATCTTCGGGGCTCCTACAGAGTTCTTTCAGGCCCTTTGTCAGATCTTCAATGACTTTTCTCATCTTTGAATCACTTGTGGAGTTGGCCATTGCTGCTTCTCCCCCATTCTGAGCCATGGAGCCCCTGTTTCACACAGATGAGAAGAAAAAAGATGAGTCTATTGGAGTGAGTTCAGAGGAGGCCACAAGGATGACCAGAGGGCTGGAGCACCTCTGCTATAGAGACAGGTTGATTCAGCCTGGAGAAGGCTCTGGGGAGACTTTAGAGCAGCTCCCAGTGCCTAAAAGGGCTGACAAGAAACCTGGAGAGAGGCTTTTGACAGAGGCATGTATTAGCTTTGCTAATTATTCCTTCTCAAAGTGGTGGTGTTGTAACTACAAGAACTACTATTATTTTCAGGTAAAAAGCTTGTAAAAGTGATAAAGCTGTAAATAATTCCTTAAGCAATCCTTTTCCTCTGCTTTTAAATTCTCCTACAGATCTGGTGTTATAAACATGAGTAAAATATGAAGGGTTACATTGAGCTTCATATTGATTTGTAAGATTTTAATGGTGTATCACTCATTGAAAATAACTGAGTAACCTTATCCCATACTTAGAGATTTATGAATGAAATAGAAGATCTGTAGGATGCTGATAATTACCTGATGCCCTGTGGTACAAAGTCTTTGTGCCTGGAGAAATGGTTCATCCTTTGAGTTTTGACACGCATTTGCTGGATTATTTTAGGCATGTCATTTTTGAAGTCTGGCTCCTCATGTCATAATAAGGGAAATATTTATATTACATTAGCACCAAAGTCATTACTGGTGCCTGGTTGTACGGCAATGTATCCAGAGATACAAAATGTTAGTCTAAAACTAAACTCAAACCAAGTTTTTCATTCATATGCAGACCTTAAACCACATGGCATGTGACACAGCATGCCAAGAACCAGGCTTTGTGAATTCTGGGCTTTGACTTTGGCTTTGAGGTAAGGGGAGGATGGAGGAAAGAGCTTAAAAAAGGAGGAAAAGTATTGTACAGCAAAACTGAGTTAATGCTGTGGAGCACAGACAGCTTCAGAGCTGTGGTGACCATTAGTGTGGACACAACATCCATCTCCACCATCCTGCACTTCCCTATTCCTGTTGCTACCTTGGGTCTTGCCAAAACATTTGGAAGTAACAGAGGAAAGGGGCAAGGACTAAAAGGTTTAGGCCATCCAGTTGAAGCACAATGCAGAGCAGCTTTTGAGAAGAGATAAACATTTTCTTACCCGGTGTTTTCTTTCCCCAGCTGGTTTGTTGTCACTACTGCAGGGGGGTTTCTGTCTCCTTGGAGATCAGAGGTGGAATCCGGTCACCATGGAGCTCCTGCCTTTGTCCTGGCTACCTGGAGCTGGGCCAGTGGCTGAAAGAGCTGGGAGTTTCTTAGCAAAACAAACACTGCAAACGCTCTCGAAAGTGCACAGATTTGGTAAAGGGAAGAGGATTTCCACACGTCTGAAGAGCTCTCCAGCTTGTGCCCTGCGCATGCCAGAGGAGCTCAAAGTCACAGGCCCCATGGTAAGTAACAACACAGCCCTCACCCTGAACAACCTGCGGCTTTATTGAGCAGTGAATGAAAAGCCTGGCTGATAGGATAGGGGAGGAAAACAGCTGGAAGGAAAAAGTCAGTGCAGGTGTTGCTGACTCCACGGGAAGAGGATACAAAGCAGAGGACTGAGTGATGTGGGTAGGGGATATGAAGCAAAGAAGACAAGGAGGTTGTAGTACCAGATCCTTCAAAATGGGTAAAATCAAAGCAGGTTTGTGGGCTTGCTTGCAGGAGAGGGTTGTTTCTGGAAGCACAGAGTGTAACAGGAGAGCTGGGACTTTGATGCCTGGTCTATAGGGAGCTGGTGTAACACATATGCACATGTATAGGCATATATGTATATGTGTACCAAAACCAAACAAAAACTATTCCAGGCTGAGGCAAAGATGAGCTTATAAAGTGAAGGAGGGAAGAAAAGAAATAACAAAACACACCAAACCCAAAAGGAAAAAGGTAGGGGGGTGGTGGTGTCGTATGTGTTTCTCCAGACAAGAATGAATGTAAAGACATTCTAGGTGTACAGCTGCTTTGTCATAAAGGTGAACTGGAATAAAGAATCAAAACATAGTTATTAACTTATCAAACTGCCCTTGAGTAAGTAACTACATACCTTTAAAGCTTCTGTTATAGGTGAGTAAAACCTTTCACCTGCATAGCTGTTCTGGTTTTAAGAAGCTGGTTTCTTGAAACTTTCTGGCCTAATCAACTTTGTAAACACGCATTTCCCTGTCAGCACATTATCAGTGTGGAACATACCACTGTAGTTCAGAATGACTATGGGTTTGGTGGAAAGCTGTGTTAGCATGTGAGCCACGATCAGGGAAATGTCAAAACCCACCAGTAATAGCTTTTAAACAGCAAATTGTGCAAGTCTTCGGTTAGATGCTTAACACAGAATTCCTGCTGGGTTACCTTATTAGATGCAGCCATTACTTCCAAGCACCTTTTAATAAATCAAGATAATATCCTTTAGCAGGAGGCAAGGTTGTAATGTTTCTACTCTATAATTAAATGCTACAGCATGCATAGCATCAGCAAAGCACCTTTTGCGCTGATAAAGCAGTTTGGTTTGTAATTTTCTCTTCACCTCACCAGGTGAACAGCTGTGACTTTTGTGTATGACAATAGTAAAATGGTGAAAAGATAAGCACAGCTGCTAAAGCTCTGCTGAAAATCATCATCGAATCACAGACTGGTTTGGGTTGAAAGGGACCTTAAAGCTCATCCGGTTCCAATCCCCTGCCATGGGCAGGGACACCTTCCACTAGAGCAGGTTGCTCCAAGCCCTATCCAGCCTGGCCTTGAACACTGTCAGGGATGGAGCATTAACCACTTCTCTGGGCACCCTGTGCCAGTGCCTCACCACTCTCACAGTGAAGAACTTCCTTATATCCAACCTGAACTTCCCCTGTTTCAGTTTAAACCCATCACCCCTTGTCCTATCGCTACAGTCCCTTGTGAAGAGTCCCTCTCCAGCATCCATCCAAATGTAGAACCTCAAGACCTGGCCCTACAACTGAAGTCCCAAAGCTATTTTAATGTAGCAAAATAGTTGAGCTTCACAGGAAGCACAACAACAACGATGACAATGACAAACTAATCCTGTGAAATTGTAGGTCATGTTAACAGCAAGCTATGTTTTCATGTGAAAATGAATTCATATAGGCAGTGAATGCAAATGAACTGGTGCCTCTCTGCTTTTCCAGAACCACCACCCTTTCAGGAGCAGCTCTTTCCAAATACAGAAACAGAGTAGCTGGTGTACCACTGAAGTGCAAATCCATTGCTCTGAAGTGCTGCATGCACCCTGCCCTCTTAGCCACACCAGGTTAAGGTTTTGTTTCTATCTGGCTTAGTGTCACAGCCACCAATCTCATCCCAAATGCCCGAAGCAGTGAGATATCAGGACTGACAACTACTTAATGGCATTTGTAAACCTGGCTGATGGGAGAGGCAGTGGGCTCCCTGGCAGGGTGAATGGCACCTTCTCTTTTCTCTATTCCTAGTGTATAATAAATACCAAGTAGCATTTCAATTTCCTTTCCCCTCCAACTGAAGTGCAGGATCTCACCAACTTGTAGACACAGCTGGAGCACATAAATGTGCATTTATTTGCAGAAACATGTTCTATCTGAAGTTTATTACATCACATGCTGAGTTGCTAACATAAACCACTGGGGTTTAATAAACACTAAATTCCTGTTTAGCTTCAATAGGCTTCTTTTATTAAAAAAGTAATACATTGGGTATTTTATGCATTTATATTACTCTAATAGCACACATTTCTGCAGGTCCCAGTCCTACTCCCTGTACTGCAAAGCTCCCTAAACCAGGGCCACCAGAACCCCAGTGTTCTCCTAACGGTGGCGCTGAAGCACAGATAAATTATAGCCAAACACCAAGCTCACGGCTATAGATACAGCTGAGTATTCCTTACAGAATAAATACCCAACACACTGGTCATCGCTAAAATTGGCAGGTTTAGATCCTTTAGAGTAGTATCAGAATAAAAAAAAAGAAGTTTTGCCTCTCTGCCTCCAGCATTTAAAAGTGAGGATTGTACATGAGCAAAACAAGCCACATACAAGCAAAGTTGTATAACCCTGATTTTTATAGTACATTGGAACTAAGAGTCCTCTGCACCTTGACAGATAGGACACTGTCAGTGTTCTTCATGCTGCTTTCACTGTAGAAGTGACTTTCATATCCTAGAAACGTACAACTGCAACTAAAGGACCTAGCATGGCATGATGAGGATCCAACACACCCTGTGAGTATGAACAAAATGCAACTTGTTGCTGTCTTATTAAGAACACCTCATGAACAATCCTGGGGTGTAGAGAAAGAGCTGACTCAGGGGTTTTGCTGGTAATCTAGATTATTTAAGGGATCACTTCTGTTCGGCGACACAAGCATCCGGGCAGCATAGCTACCTCTACCACTGAATTCTTTAAGTGCCACCTTCTTTAAGTCCTTTTCAGTGAATAAGAAGTGAAAGAATCCCTTAAAAATTTACATACTAATCTTCAGGCAGATATTTAATTTGAAACATGAAGTGACATTTGACAGCACAAAACCAGAAGAGCAGCTGAGCAGAGACTGTCAAAGAACTACTGTGTTCCTCTTCCAAGTTTCACCCCTACACCTTTAATTTTATTGCCAAGGTTTCTTTTGGACACTAGCAATTAAAAAGCCACCTTATTTTGTCAACTTTGCAACCATTAGCATCCTGAGAGGTAGCGTGTCTTCTATCCAAGTGTTTGGAGAGTTCATCATCTTCTCCCAGAGGGCAGTTTCTGCTGAAGTAGAATCCATCCAATCTACTGTAGTCCCATAGCTTCTGCCTGGAAAAATGTCAGTTAAGAGGAACATTACTTAACGTGTTGCAGAGTTAGAAGCAGGCAATCATGTTTGTCTGTCTTCTAAAACGGTTTCACCTTCTCAGGTGGCTGACCCAGTATTTTGAAGAACCAGTTCTACATTTATGGAATTGTACAGTTCTATCAAACACATTTAGTCAAGAGTTTCACACAGAAACTTGGTCATCTTTCATGTTATCCTTAGCCTTTTTGCCATAAGATGTAGGAACTTGGAACAATCTGGTCTAGTGGAAGGTGTCCTTGCTCATGGCAGAGGTGCTGGAACTAGGTGGTCTTTAAGGTCCATTCCAACCCAAACCATTCTGTGATTCTATGAATATCTGAGAGGGTTTAAGAATAAAACAGGACACTTATTTTGTACAATGCTGGAAACTCTAGAATTCAAATTGAGATTTACTATCCCAATTTGTATTTTAGGTTATTCTGGTGAACCATGGTAACTTGGGAAATTTTTTTCTTGTCTTTGCTTGGAAAGACTCCAAACACATCCTCCCCTCAGACAATGAAAGGGACAAATACAATGACAGGGAAAACACACAGTTCTGTCTACACATTTTATATTGCCCTCATGCTGAAAACTTGTTTGCATTTCTAAGTTTTCCTCTCCAATGTCTTCAAATCTTATCACACATTCCTGATCTATCCTTTTATCTCCACCCAATACATTCCTTACACCTCATACTTAGTGTTTGCATGAGTCTGTAAGACGTTATCAGTATTTTGGATGCATGTTCTTGTGCTTCAAACAATACCACATATAATGTATGGCCAGGCAAAGGTTTATTTCCAGTATTTCTCCTTATTTGTCAGTCATCCTAACCCTCATAACACTACTGAGATTTACATTTCAAGATCTGTGCTCAAAATAGGAAAGTTACTTGTCCTGGGTTCAGCCGGACATGACACTGAATGAAACTCTTCAGTAAATAACTAACTGAAAGGCTGTTGGGTGATCTTTGCAAAAAGAGAAGAAATGGAAAGGAAGAAGGGAAAAAGGAGAGCCTGCATTTTGTACATTAAGGTTTAATGTGTTAGTTGTCCAGTACCTGTTCCAAGGCCTATTCTGAGACCTCCCAGAAAGTGGTTGGCCAGTTTGTTGTGGTCCCAGACTGTGAGTTCTACACAGGCTTCTTTCAAATCTTCTGGTCTAAAGCCATCATAGACCATGGTGTGGTTGAATATGGGGTTTGTAGTTTTTGCCACTGTTCTTGTTTTCTGGCGGCTTTTTCGGCTGGTGTCTGGCAGAATGGTACTTCAGGAAGAAAAACCATTGTCAGTTTGCACTTAAACATCAAACACAGACAAAACCTACTGATTAACAGTGCCCTTTGCATGTTAGGACATGACTGAAGATGCTTTAGCATTGTGGAGATGAAGTCAAAGGTCATATTCTCAGTCCAAGAAATACTGGCAGCATGTATCCACCCCTGTGCTTCAGCAGATGGAAGGGAAGAGGAGGTCAGGTGAGGAAGAGGCAGAAGTGATTTTATTTATCACGAATGACACTGAAACCTTTTGTCCCTGATGGGGATTTCCCACCCACCTCGTTATTCTTGTCTCTTCACATTTTCAGTCTGTACATGGAAAGGAAAGAGGAAGAAATACCACAATGCTTCTCACTTCTGTCTCCTCCCTAGATTTGCTAAACTGAACCAGGCTCCTGCACAAACACACCTTACTTAAATGCAAATAAAAACAGGCATAGTTGTGAGGAGCCCTTCCCCCTACCGAGTAACTGAGCAGCAGAATGGAAGAGCAGATTACACAGGAAGCTTTCCCAGTCTGTTCTAATCGGTTCAAGTTGTAAACCCTGCAGGACAATTTGCATTACAATCAAGGAGAATCAGAAAGTAATTAGGTGGTTTTTCATTTGAATGTAGAAACATGAAGATAAGATTAGAAAACATAACAGTAGCATTAGTAGGCCATCACGTTTGATGACTTTGACCCCGGTTCTTACCACTTAATAAAAGAGTTGAGCCTATTGCCTCTCAGAAGAGGAAGGTCATGGCATTCTTTGACCCAGATGTGGACCTCACCAGTAGGTACAGTCTTTTTCACTGCAAAGGTAAAACATTAATGAAGCCTTGCAGATCCCTTTTAAAGGTAATTTCCATGATGCAGCAGTTCCTGTCCATTTGTAGAGGGGATATTTGGCCTAGACTCTCATTATACCTTAATTCAACCAACCTCATAAACTGCAATCTTCATCCCATCAAAATACAGCAAGACCACATGATGTCTGTATTCCCATTCAACCAACCTCAGAAGCTGCAATCTTCATCCCATCAAAATACAGCAAGACCACATGATGTCTGTATTCCCACTTCTATTCTCTTACAACTAAATACATAGTATGAGTCTCCTCCTCAAAGCCTCCTAGGTAAGGATGTCACAGTCTATGTGATGTTAACATTTATTGATGCTTGGACTTTCAAATAAGCTCTTTTGTGCTGTGACTATATTCTTATTGACTGACTGGCTGGATTAAAGACCTTACCTCACTATCAGATCAGCAGTTATCAGTTGCCAGACAAGATTAAACCAAACAGAGCACAGAATGCTGCATTCTGAATACTTACTGGTATTTTCTACTTCTAATATCACTTGAATTCAGTGTGTTATCATTGTTTATGTAGCAGATCACAGCACCTGCCTGGTGATTTATAATCTCTAAAATTATTAGTGAGATAATGGAATTTATTACATATACAGACTATGTTACAAATCAAAGATTACAGCAGTGAAGTCATTTCTTCTGTAGTAACATTAAAACCAACAAAAAGATCCTAAAATGATCTTTGGATCCTAAACTGAATTTGTGAGCAAGGTGGCTGTAGAAGGAATAATTCTACTTTATATTGAAACAAGGTGTCTGAAATGGCTGAGTAGAAACAACTAAACCCCCAAAGGCTTAACAAACCCAAAGCAAGAAGCAAAGCATACCTCCAGCAGGGTGTGGGACATACAAAAGGGCCAGTTTCATCTCCCCTCTGTTTTCTAGTTGAAGAGTCATTGTTGAAGTCTGAAATTTAAGAAGAAGAAAACCCCACAAATGTCAAAGTTTGCACTTCACAAAGAGTTTGCTCTGCAAAGTTTTCCGCTGGAACAAGCCTGACTTCTACAGGAGGCAAGTTTTTTTCTTGTTCCATACCCATTAGTCTTTCCTCAGTTTACAGGACATGAGAGATTTTAGGGCATGTTCATCCACTTGCAGTGACTCAGATGACACACAACTCTTTCACTAAAGCAGAAAACACGACCCAGGAGAGGCCAGAAGGCTTTGAGGATGCAGCATTTCCACTGATGTGCCCTTATTTAAAATCAGAATGTCTGCTCTTTCAATCAAGAAACTTACTGTTTGTGCAACAGAAAATGGACTTTTCTAAAGTCATTCCTATAGGAATGTATTGCCTCATTTAATACAATCTGAAACGCAGCCTTAGCAAGAGTTAGCTTGCAAAAAGGCACAAGAATGTGTCATTTCTTCATAGTCATGGATTATCTGAGGATGGAACAGGATCCCTGTTAACATTTACCTACCCAGAGCAGTTTTAAAATCAGTTGAATTCAACTAGTGCTAAGGACCACCACGACATTCCTGGTTTGTTCTGTAAATTATTCAACTTTGGATTGAGCTGATTTTGGAATGAATTCATGAAATAAATTCAAGGAAAAGAAGAAGAAATAAAAAAGGAGAAAAACAACAACAAAAGAAAGCAGAACGTCTGGCAGTGGCTTACATGAAAGCTTAGATCTTGGCTGAAACCCATTAGCAAACAAGACACACACAAACATAGAAGTCATCCTTACATCTAACATTAAAATGCTGCTGCACTTGCCCCGTGTTCTGAGGAGGTTTGCTTCGTATTTGGGGGGAAAATGCCTTCAGGTATCTGCTGCAGCAACATGATGTAAGTGAAAAACAACTTGAAATTCTTACTCCTTACACTATGAGAAAGCTATCCCTACTATAATAATAACTAGCTACTTACTAGACTAACAGAAACCTCAGAACTGGATGTTTCATCTACCAGAAAAGAGGCATTTATGATTATAACAGACACCAAACCCACAGAACACACAAGACCAGGCATAACTAAATAAAGACTCGGGGTTTTGCACTTACACAGTGGAAAATACAGAACTGACCCACCCATAGTGACCTACCCTTGGCTTGAGTGGAAACCAGTTGATCTGCTTGTTGGATTTCTCATTCCAGTCCCATGTTCCTAAATCCAGCTCCACTTCTCCAAGGAAACTATTCCTCCCAAAGGTGTCATTGTGCCACACAGAGATATTGAGGCTTTGGTATTTTAGGAGATCCTTCTCAATTTTATACTGCCAGGAGGAAGAAATGAAGGGGAAAAAAAAAAAGCCGGATTTTTACCAGTGCTATGTCTGAAATGTGGCTGGGTTTATACACCCATAGCTGCTCACTGCTTCCTTTCAAAACAAAACTCTCTTCATGTTTTACTTTTTATTTCATAGGATCACAGAATGGTTTGTGCTGGAAGGGACCTTAAAGCTCATCCAGTTCAACCCCCTGCCATGGGCAGGGACACCTTCCACTAGAGCAGATTGCTCCAAGCCCCTGTGTCCAACCTGGCCTTGAACACTGCCAGGGATGGGGCAGCCACAGCTTCTCCGGGCACCCTGTGCCAGCGCCTCAGCACCCTCACAGTAAAAAACTTCTGCCTAAGAGCTCATCTAAATCTCCCCTCTGTCAGGTTAAATCCATTCCCCCTTGTCCTGTCAATACATGCTCTTATAAAAAGCCCTCTCCAGCTTTTATTTGTCAGCCCCTTTAGGCACTGGAGCTGCTCTAAGGTCTCCCCTTAAGGAGCCTTCTCCAGGCTGAACCAGCCCAGCTCTCTCAGCCTGGCTCCATAACAGAGGTACTCCAGCCCTCGCAGCATCTTCATGGCCCTTCTCTTACTAAATGTATGAGCCCTTATGTCATACTGAGTTTGTATTTGTGAGAAATATACAACCACCAGTGTTCTCCTGCTGTACCTAGAGTACACTGTGGGGTTCACCTATCAGTGCAAGGACACAAGTACTTCTGCAGAGCAATCCCTGTCACCCTAATGTCTTTTGAGAGCATCTACACCTGGGCCTAAAAGTTAAGGTTCCTCCTCCTTCATGCATGTAGTATTCCATATGTAGGAATAGTTAGATAAATACCCGCAATATTTCATTATAGACTGGATTAAAAGTTTTCTTTTTGACAGAAGTCTTCCGTTTGCCCAGCTTGTATTTCTCTGGAAGCAAGTAGGTCTTTACATACCTAAAATTTAAGACAGGCTTGTTAGAAGGGCAAAAAACCCCCCACCCTTTCTAACTTCCCCTTCCAAAAGACACAAGTATTTTCTTATGAAGTCAAATAAATCCACTTAATAGCCATTATATTGTTCAAGTTGTTACATTTAGGAAGTGAACAGCAGTGGTGAAGTGTAACAGTAGTTTCCGAAATGGGACATGGGTCTCCTTCTACCAGGGGGAAATGTGTTTAAATGTCTCCTCAACATATACCAATACAGAATATTTAACTATAATATGCCCAGATACAGGATTTATTTGCTCTAATCCTGTTGGAAACATCAAACCAGGATTTATCATCTGGAAAGTTGAGTTTTAAAAGACTTTCATATTCTTAAAAGTTTGAGCTTCCCATGTTGGTACATGCACCAATTTATAGTGGCAATTCTACATTCAGAGTGGAAAACCACATGAAGCACATTATAGTCTCTTCATTTATTTATCGAGTTGTAAACTCCAATATAGAGATTGGAATAAAACAGCAGTTTTCATTTTCACATTAAAGCTTCCATAAGGAAATCAGTATCTTCTGTGTACTCACGGGTCTGAACGCTGGCGCTTAACATCTGCCACTGCCAAGTCTTTGCACTGGCAAATAAAGATGTGAAGCTCCTTCAGCTGTTCCACATAATCAATGGCAAACTGGATGTTCCCCTTCACATCAACATTGCCAAAGTCTGCGCTATAGATGCTCATGAGGCTTCCGCTCACCTGTGCCAGACAAGAGGAGAAACATTTTCCAGGCATTGCATTTAACCACATACTTCAAGATTAGGATAGAAGCTGTGCTCAGAATTCCGACAGTAAAGAAATCAGCTGTGTCCCTTTAAATGTAGGAACAAACTAGGGGACACTATAACAAAAGATTCTCAGCAAGCAGAAAGTTATTTGTAAGTCAAAGGTGTTAGGCCAAGTTTGCTACAAAAACAATGTGTTTATTGCCTTGAAATAGATGAAGTAAAGTGATAGGATGCTGCAGATCTGGGGACTGTCTGTGATCAGACCTTTGAAATATTACTTCTAGATCCCTTCAGCTGATCTTCCTTCTGCAGAAAGCAGAGCTCGAGAATTTAGGGCAACAGGCCTTTAGAAAACGTCAACAAAAAGATTAGTGCTAAAGCCTATATGGCTGAATTATGTACCTAAGTAAAGCACTGAAAATTAAACATGAATATATAGGAAGAGAAGAATGTAAGATCATTTTTAGTCTCAATATCCTTCCCCAAAATTCCCCAGAAACTCCATAGAAACTAATAACCTGGTTAGCTAGTTCATGGACTTAAACACCCCTGTACAAATACTGCCTCTTGCTTTCAGTTATTTCTCCCCCTCCCCCTTCCTCCTTACTATTTGTTCTATATAAATTGTCCCTCATTTTCAGCTACAAATGCAAGCTCTTGGGGTAAAAGCTATCACTTTGTTCAGTGTTTATAGAGGGGAGTCCTGAACAAGCTCCAATATATTCCTAAAGAGCAAAAGTAAAACCAATTCTATTTTATCTGTTTTAGGCAATTCCATGCAAGCGTTCACATAACAGAGAGGGAAGGAAGGAGAAAGAGATGCCAGGAAAGGTAAGAGGAATAAGAAGGGAGCTGAAACAATACTGAAGAGATTACCAAAAACAAAGTGCCATTAAAACAAGGCTGTGGTTTACGTACAGAGGATAAGGAGGCCATGCCAGAGGAGCCGCTAAGATTGGTTAGAGAGCTGGGACTCTTCTTGATTCTGCCAAGGGAATAACTGCTTTCTGATGCTGTATCTGTCTCTCTGTCATCACTCTACAAAAACAGCACAGAAAAAGCCTGTGTTGGTTCTTCAGGGTTACAAAGAACATTAAATACAAACAAAAACAAACAGATTTTTAACGCAGACTGAGGCTCAGTGAAAACCTGAATTTAAATCCCCTGGTTGTGCAACATGAGTAACCAATAGTTCTTGAATTAGGTCATGAACTTAAAACTGAAAAGGGTATTTTCTGATGGAAAGCCTACAGTGAAAATTTAAAGCAGTAATGCAACCAGGTTTGGGCTTTGGCTTTAAATCTCAAATAGCAAGGAAAGAGTACAATTTGACTGGGGCAATTAAACTCAGCTTCTCTACTTCACCTTGCAAGTGGTAATGCTCAGGTCTTTTACCAGTCACTTTCCGTTACATAGCAAATACTGTCAAGTCTGTACCCTCTCTTGAAGGCAGCTAGCTGGAGGCAACATGCACTCTACAACAGCAGTGGATACAAAGAGCCTTTCTTGCAGGACACTAAGCAGGGCCCTGCTTTTCCCTCAAGGAACTGCAGTTGTGGTTTACCTCGTCGTTACCCAGTTATGTGCTTACAACCCCATTCTGTCTCAATGTCATTGCTATACTGAAGAATCCATACTTCACTTCCCATGTGTGTCTTAGCATCTTCCTTTGCAAGCTGCTGAAGAAAGCAGCATCTTCCTGCTGCATTCCACCTAATTTACAAGGCTTCCCCCGTTTTATAAGGTTTTGAACTGCTTTCATAGCTCCTCTACTAGCAGATGCAAAATTAATAAACAACATCTACACACACTAAAGAAAATGGATATTTACAGACATAAACAAATAGCATATAAGCATTTTGAGTAAGACTTTATGAAGATCTGCTAATTGTAGCTTTTATGACCATGTCTGTACCACTAGGCAAAAGCAGGCCAAGATAATTCCCCAATTCAGAGGCCAAAGGTAAGGACTGACTAATGCTCATCATACCCAGGGCAGGGATCCTTGAGAGGCAAATTGGTTTGGAGAGAGATATTTTGGACTATCAAAAAAAATCCAGGGAGTGAAGTAACAGTTAAGCATTGTGAATAATCAGCCCTGTTCCAAAGAGTCCATAGAAGACAGGAAAATCCTAAGCTCCCTTATGAAGAATATATGACTTCCCTAGGACCATTTTAGCTGCTGTCCATGGTGCAGGTCAGCAGGACAATGGAACTTACCTCTTCCTGTAGAAATGATGGTACCGACTTGCTCAGTCCTTTGAGTTTTTCAGGACTGGAAAACAACTTGTCAGGCTGTGAAGACACTGTGGAAACTGAAGAGCAGCAATTCAAAAGGCTTCAAAAATACACTTGTACATCAAAACAGTGACTTTTCACAACATGATGTGGTTAGAAATAAACTTCTGGTGAAATACATGCACATGCATAACCAGTTTACAGTCTGGATGCAAGGTTGGTTCTCCCCAACCCTCCCATAGGACTCAGAAGCTATCGTTAGGAAGCATAATTCACTTTAACAACTTCTATAACACTGACCAAAGAACTTTATCTGGCGGGAGCAGAAACACTGACATTGCTTGACATGATGTGCAAGCCTGGGTGCTGCAAGCAAGCTCTGATCAAATGTGGTGAAGAAAACATTGTCAGTTTACCTTCTACATTTTCTTTCTAGAACAAGGATAAATGCAACACTTATGTACTAACCATCCCTCACTGACATTAGAATCACAGAATGGTTTGGGTTGGAAGGGACCTTAAAACTCACCCAGTTCCAACCCCCTGCCATGGGCAGGGACACCTTCCACTAGAGCAGCTTGCTCCAAGCCCCTGTATCCAACCTGGCCTTGAACACTGCCAGGGATGGGGCAGCCGCAGCTTCTCTGGGCACCCTGTGCCAGTGCCTCAGCACCCTCACAGGGAAGAGCTTCTGCCTAAGAGCTCATCCCAATCTCCCCTCTGTCAGGTTAAAACCATTCCCCCTTGTCCTACCCCTACAGGCCTTCATCCAAAGTCCCTCTCCAGGTTCTTGTAGCTCCTTTAGGCACTGGAAGCTGCTCTAAGGTCTCCCTGGAGCCTTCTCTTCTCCAGGCTGAACCAGCCCAGTTCTCTCAGCCTGTCTCCATAACAGAGGTGCTCCAGCCCTCACAGCTTCTCTGTGGCTTCCCCTGGACTCACTCCAATCTTGGAACGATTACAGTCATCATAAGGTTCTTGGGAAGAAATCAGCTAAAGTCTGTTCTTTACAGTCTCATTAACTGCAGTAGAAACATTGTGTAAATCAATTTGGTTTTAGACCTGAGGAAAGAAGTTTCAAGTACTCCCAGTTCATTGTAAGATGCATATCATTAATGATGCACTTTTTCTGCAGTCCATCTCTTCGTCTGTATACCTCTAATAAAGCTCACTGCTACACTCTTTCACTATACAAAGCTTAACTGCACAACTTAGTCTTGCAAAAAAAAACAGTTTGCAGTAAGCCCATGATACTCAGAATTTTCCATTCTTTAACCCAACTTATATTTAATAATGCACTAAAGCTCTTTATCTGTGGACTGGATACACATTGTTAAATGCATCAAGACAAGTATTTGGCAACAAACAGCCAGCTACAGGGACACGTATCTATTACACAGAGTGAAACACTGCAACACTGTTTGCAAGGTGTGAGTTAAGCCTTTGCAAAGCTGTTGCTGGATGAAGCTCAAGTAGCGCTCAACATGCCAGTTATTTTCAGTATGCAGTTAAGACGCAGTTTCCACACTGAGCACGAATGTAGTCCAGATGTATAACTTGTTAGTTGTTAAATAACAAAGGATTTGTGATGTATTAGTTTAAATATCAGTGGAGAAACCTCCCCATTGTCTGCTGGAAGGATCCTGTTACTCACTTCCCGTGGTATTTTCATTCCTCTCTTGATGCTGATCAGGTTTCGGACCTGCTCAGTGCGGTATTGACAACAGTCATTCAGTGGCACAAACAGCTTTGCAATGTCAATAAATAGCATCAGCACATTTTAGATGTGGGATGTTTTTGACCTCCCCAGACCCTGTATGTTTCTGTGTTTTACACTGATCTTCTCCTTTGAGAGGCTGCATCATAACTAGGGTAACACGAATGTACAAGCTAAACAAAGCAAGAAGAACTTGCCTTACTCTATGTGCACAGCTATTCATTTGGTTGTTTGTCATTGTTGCAAAACTTCACTCTCAAAAAGCTTAAGTTCAAAATAAACCTCTCCTGCCTTTTCAGATAAGTGTCTATACATTCCATCCTGAACATAAAACATGCTTTCAGTAGGAGTCTCCATTTGAAAGCAAAGTGCAGTATGGTACTGAAGTCTCGTGTTCATTTTCTGAACGGTGCGTGCATTCTGTCATGCTACAATCATACCATTTATACTATAGGCAACTAATATGCAAAATGCCTTGAAGCATCTAAAACATGACAATAAATGCAACTGTGCACAACTATTTTTTATAACTGTAATGCTCCAGTGCAGTAAGGAAAGAATTGTGTGTTATGTTCTACCATATTCAATGTAATGTAAGGGGTTTCCGTTGTGTTTATCTTGATATTGAGCAGCTTTGCTTTTATTTTCTTAGATTTGGAATTTCTAAATGTATATAGGAAGAATTAACAGCAAGGCATTTGTAATGCACTAATGGACTGATGATAGCTACCATAGCTGACTCAGCACTTCATCTATTGCTTAGAGTAATTCCATTTTGCTAGATTGAGATAGAGATTATAGGAGAGGCTCCTTTTCATCTGAGTAATTCCACTTTGCTGGAGGTTCCTTTTCAACTGATGCACTCTGAAGGGTGTTTTGCACTAGCAAAAGGCATCTTCCATCTTACAATGCAATGAATGAACAGACAAACTCATTATTTACTTAAGCCAAGTCTTTCAACTGAGCTACTGTTCAAAGCTCACAATAATTTCAGTAACTGTTTCACAGGATGAATGTCCAAAGGCCAAAACAATACACTCCTAGGTGGCAGAAAGTTTCTACAGATATAGCAGGACATAACATCAGTATATTCCTGAAAATGCCACAGTGAAAGTGTATAAACACATTTCAGTCATGCTGAAGTTAATCAAATCTAGAAGCACAATTCTCGGTCTAAGAAAATCTTTCACTAGCAAATAGAGGCCATTAAAAAAAAACAACAATAAATTTCCATGCAGACACAAAAGATATTTACCATCTTCAGCACTAAGAGCTAATTCTTCCTTTGGATTATTTATTTTTCCTTTATCTGTGCAGGAAAAAAGTAACACATAGTTAGGAATTTTGCTATTCAGTGTGATAAAATGAATGGCAGTGGTAATCACAGAGCTAAGAGTGGTGAGGACATAAAGTCAAACGAACCAGCAGAGCCATGGAAATGGTTAAATTCAAGAGATGCTTTCTACTTCACACACTACATGAAACCTATGTCCAAGCAGCAGTCTCATGTTGACATGGTTTGTCAGTGTGCCATTGTGACCGTGTTAGTGCATACCTAAACCCTAGAATCTAGTTAGAAGCAGGCAACAGCATAAGTAGTATTAGCAGAGTGTTTTGCCAATGATAGCCAACATCTTTCAAAATCTACACTCCACATTTCAGTGTATATGAAGTTCAGTTTATATCCTCCCCATTAGTCAGGGGATGAGCTTGGAAACACCCTGGGGCAGTGGGAATAGAGACAGGAATAATGACTAAAACTAAAAACCTAAAAAGGCTACAAAGGGAATTAATTTTAAGTATAATCTTGTTTCATCGTATTCTCTTAGCATGATTTTGGGATATTAACTTAATTAGAAATAATTAATTAAAACCACTACTAAACTAAGATGATGTTTTCATACTTCCAATAATTTGACCCAAGAAACAGCCAAGAGGCAATGGCAGCTGTTGCTCACTATGGATTTGTGTAGTTGCCAGAACTTTTAATAGTGAAAATCACTATTGATTTCTGATCACAGAAAAATCTGTGATCTAGAATCACAGAGTGGTTTGGGTTGGGAGGGACCTTAAAGCTCATCCAGTTCCAACCCCTGCCACGGGCAGGGACACCTTCCACTAGAGCAGCTTGCTCCAAGCCCCTGTGTCCAACCTGGCCTTAAACACTGCCAGAGATGGGGCAGCCACAGCTTCTCTGGGCATCCTGTGCCAGTGTCTCACAAACTGTTCAAGGAACGCTTCACCACTCATTAACACAGTGCATTTTTGGAAGATGTCTGCTTCATGGACCAGTGTTGTTTCAAAAGTAACACAAAGAACTGAAATCTAAACCTTGTGAGAAAAGAACATGGTCCTAAAGTACAAGCTCCATATAGCTCATTGAGAAACAAAGACAAAACCACTACTTGGCAAAGCTGTATGGAAGACCAGCATGAACATATTTAAGCCAAACTGGGGTCATGGGAGACACACAAGCTTCGTGCTCACTTGAGGTGGCTGATGGAATGTCCTCTAGACTTTTGGAAGGCATTTTCCTATCTGCACTCCTTTTCAAAGCCAGCAAAACAGGGTTTAATTCTTCTGAACCTGTTACGAGACAAAACACATGAACACTGCACATACAGAGATGCCACAAGCAAGTCACTAAAAATACAACCATGGATTGCTCATGAGAATCTATTTTGACTGTTAGCAAAAACTGACTGTTCAATGGAAATGCTAAATAAGTCCAAAATAAACAAAATGTCTAATTTTAAGAGTCCATTTGCTGTCTTTAAAGTGTTTTGCCCATCGGTACAGAGGTAGGTTGGTTGATATACCTTGTGTGGGTATGTGTCTGCACTGAGTAATAAGGGGGTTTGGAGCAATTATGGCACTTAACTGGCTAAGAATAATACAGACTTTAGCCATTTTGTAACTATCTGGGTATGAATCAGCACAAAAAAAGTTAAACAGTTTTAGTTTTTTCACCAGTTCAACTTTGTTCTATTTTTCTCCCCAGGGAAAGTAAATTTTGTTTCAATACTGGAGTAAAAACCACAAAACCACCCAGCTGTGGAGGTATTTGGATCCCTGAAGTGATGCAATTGTCTCCAAGGGCAGAATCAAGACAGATCGAAACCTCTGAGACCCTGTCTCCCCCCTACTCCCTTTTCTCCTCATCAGCCAACCAACCAACCAAGCTTACAGTGCTGCTGTCCGTAACAGGTAAAACCAAATTATCTTTCATTTTTCATTTGTCTTGAGCCTTTGCTGGCTTCCATTGGAATCTCACTTTCAGAACAGGCTCAAGAGTGAGTTGGCAGGCCCTGGGAGCCTCACACATTGCTCTCATTTGCTGGCTGAAGAAACCATTCCCAGCCTCTCAGCATGAGATTAAAAAGGTTAAATTATTTCCCTACCTTGTGCTTTTTGATGAGTATCACACACTACACATTGACTAGAGCTGCCGTTCAACCAAGTAATGAGAATCCCAGTAAACAGACCATTTATATGACCACTTTCTACTGCAGCAGGCAGCAATGCTGAATAGCCCAGAGTGTTGGTGTTGTCTTTATATCCAGCCACTCCAATGATGAGAATTTACCTTTGAAGAACACTTGGTCACACTAAAGAATGAACTCAGTCAGTCACTGATTTTTCCCTCTCTTTTAATCCAGTATATTTAAAAGAAATACCAGAATCTGAGTGTTACAAAGTTAGTAATTTGAAGGTGATATCACAGGGAGGAAGAAAAGGGTAAATCATGAAGACTGATGCAATTGATTCACACTGCTGAATTCCCCTCAGCTAAAAAGTTTGCCCAAATGTAGTAGGTGCGAAACACTTTCCAGTTAAAGGACCTCATGATTCTTCCCATCCTTCCCAAAGAACTATCTAAAGCATTCAAGTAGGAAATAAGTATCACCCAGACTTTGTGTGAATGCATTTCAAGTTGGCTACTATAAAAAATTGTAGCCATGTTTAACAACCCAGCACCATGAATTTTAGAAATCAAACAGCTCACGAGTCAAACTGGTTCCAGAGTGGGAATCAGATTGTTCATCAGAAGAACTGGATCCCAGGTCTGAGCCAACCCTTTCCTCTTCATCATTATCCTCATGTGGAGACGTGAGGCAGAGGCGAGCTCCTCCTGGCTGGGGGGAGCTGCTCTCATCTCTAAGTGGTGTACCTCCTGTCCTGAATCCCAGCAGCGCTTTAAAGTCTGAGCTCTTTTCAGAGGCATCCAGGGATGTGCTCTCATCAATCCTTCCTTTCTCATTTATCTTGAACGGCTTGATTTCAATCACATTGGGGTCTCCTTCCAAGGGGGGAAGATCGACTGGAGCCGTGTTTCTCTTTTCTAATGTATTAACAGCTCCATTTCTTTTAAGAGGACCAGAAGTTTCAGTTTCACTTACTGCAAGATCATTTACTGCAGCTCTGATATTTTGTTCTGGAGCTCTTCCTTTGATAGCTGTCTTCATCTGTGTATGACAGCTACTGAAAGCATGACATGGCTGTGACATTGTCATGAAGACAGTCTCTTTTTGTGAGGGACTATGACCCCCAAACTCTTCTTGCCTATGTAACTCCCTGGATATCGGACATGAAGCTTCAGATGCTTCTTGAAGAAGTTCCTCTAAAGAGCACCTGAATTCCCTGAATTTTGCAGTGTTTGAAACTGAAGTTTTTTCTACTGTTTCTTGTATTTCTTGAGGAAGGTCCCTCTCTCGATGTGGAGTGTGCACACTTACGCTACTCTGTATTTTACTTTCCATTTTCTTATCCCTATCTCCCAGCACAGAAGCTGGTGTTTCAGAGACATTTTTTGGCAGCTTCTGCAAATTCACATCAAATGCTGCATATTCAGCCTCGGACGCTGCAGATCTTTCCATGGTATCACTGATTTCCTGCAGCAGCTCTCCATCAGGCTCATAGGTTGTGCTTTTAACTTCCACCTCAGCAGCCCTCCATATTGCCCTGTCAGAACGTTTTGGTTTAGGAGGTGGCACTTCAGAAGCCTCCTTCAATAACTTCTCTAAAGCAAAGCTCAAGCCACGGACCTTGGATGGGGCAACAGATTTTTCTATGGTCTCACTGATTTCCTGCAGCAGCTCTCCACCAGGCTCACAGGTTGTGCCTTTGAGTTCCACCTCAGCAGCCCTCAGCACTGCATTGTCAACATGTTTTGGTTTAGGAGGTGGCCTTTCAGAAACCTCCTTCAGCAGCTTCTCTAAAGCAAAACTCAAACAACTGACCTTGGATGGGGCAACTGACTTTTCTATGGTCTCACTGATTTCCTGCAGCAGCTCTCCATGAGGCTCACAGGTTGTGCTTTCGAGTTCCACCTCAGCAGCCCTCAGCACTGCATTATCAACGTGTTTTGGTTTAGGAGGTGGCCTTTCAGAAACCTCCTTCAGCAGCTTCTCTAAAGCAAAACTCAAATAACTGACCTTGGATGGGGCAACAGACTTTTCTATGGTCTCACTGATTTCCTGCAGCAACTCTCCACCAGGCTCACAGGTTGTGCCTTCGAGTTCCACCTCAGCAGCCCTCAGCACTGCATTATCAACATGTTTTGGTTTAGGAGGTGGCCTTTCAGAAGCCTCCTTTAGCAGCTTCTCTAGAGAAGAGTTCAAGCCACCGACCTTGGATGGGGCAACAGACTTTTCTATGGTCTCACTGATTTCCTGCAGCAACTCTCCACCAGGCTCACAGGTTGTGCTTTCGAGTTCCACCTCAGCAGCCCTCAGCACTGCATTATCAACATGTTTTGGTTTAGGAGGTGACCTTTCAGAAACCTCCTTCATCAGCTTCTCTAAAGCAAAACTCAAACAACTGACCTTGGATGGGGCAACAGACTTTTCTATGGTCTCACTGATTTCCTGCAGCAACTCTCCACCAGGCTCACAGGTTGTGCCTTTGAGTTCCACCTCAGCAGCCCTCAGCACTGCATTATCAACATGTTTTGGTTTAGGAGGTGGCCTTTCAGAAGCCTCCTTTAGCAGCTTGTCTAAAGCAGAACTCAAGCCACTGACCTTGGATGGGGCAACAGACTTTTCTGTGGTCTCACTAATTTCCTGCAGCAACTCTCCATTAGGCTCACAGGTTGTGCTTTCGAGTTCCACCTCAGCAGCCCTCAGTACCGCACTGTGGACACGTTTTGGTTTAGGAGGTGGCTTTTCGGAAGCCGCCTTTAGCAGCTTGTCTAAAGCAGAACTCAAGCCACTGACCTTGGATGGGGCAACAGACTTGCCTATGGTCTCACTGATCTCTTCAGGCTGACCAATAACTTCTTGGCATGTGGATTCTACATTACAATTAATTTGCAATGTACTATTCATGTCAGTGGGTACTTTCATTCCCCCCCTTCTGTATTCAGAAGGCTGAGATACAAAGGGTTCTCTGAGCAGGTTCTGCAAACCAGCTTTAAGCCTCTGAGAACCCTCAAGAGCATCATCCTTGTCTGCTGCCCGAGGCTGTAGAGAGAAAGCCTCAAATTCCCTAAACAGTTTCGTTAGGCTTCTTTTGTTTTCATGCTCACCTGTTGATGGCACATTCACTTTTCCTGTTCTTTTGCCTATTTCTTCGTTTTGAGCAGCAGGACAGGAGTCATGGCTTTGTTTCACTGTTCTTTCAAAGACCTTGCACTGATTTGAGTGAAGAGTTGGCTGTTTCAAAATGCTGGTTTTTAGGTTCAAGCTAGATGACATCTCAGAGGCTTCCTTTTCTAACTTCTTTAGGCCTAATTTAAATACATCCAGCTCAGCTCTACGTAGAACCATTTTATCCACAGTCTCTGCAACTCCCTCTTTAGGGAGACTGACACCTAATGGAGAAGACTTCTTCACTTCTTCTGTGGGTGAACATAGACAATCATCTGCTGGTGTTGTCTTTAAAACTTCTTTATCTCCAGGCAGTTGGATTAACTGCAACAAAACAGGCTGTTCTTTTGATGAAACGATACTTTTTTCTACACATTCTTTAACTTCTTGCTCTGGAAGACCCATCTTTTCCTTGGGTTCTGAGATGACCACCTTTCTGTCCAGCTGTGACATTGTCTGTGTCATATTCAGAGCTTCCAGGGTAGCAGATCCTAGAGGCAGTTCACACAGCACAGAATCAGGTTTCTGTTGGTTCTCTCTCTCTGACATTTGGGTTTGTTGTTGGATTAACTCTTGCTTGCTCACATTATCTCTGCCTTCTTCATTCTCCTTTGATTTTCTCTCATGGGTTATTGAACTAGTATTATTAGGCAAAGAAACATCTCCCCTGTCAATGCTACTCTCTAATTTAGCTCCAGTATCCCAGAAGTTTCTCAAATTCTGGAACTGCAAAGGATCCGAAATTCGATTCTTGGACTTCTCGTTGATTTTCTCTTTTAAAGACAAAATCTGGAAGTTGGGTTTCTGTTGGGAGCAAGCAGAAGCTCTTCCTTTAAGTGCTTCTTTCTCATTTTTGTCTTTGCTTTGTGGGGAAGCTGAAGTGGCACCAACTCTTGGTTGCAAGTCACCAGCCTTTGGTAACTCTGTATATTCATGAACTTCATCAGACGGAAATGTTCTTTCTGTCTCTCCAGCTGCATGGCCTGGTCTAAACTCAAAAGAGTTTTGATGCTCATTTTCTGAAGCCTGGCTTACACAGCTTGGTTCAGCACTTGTTGGTGTATTCTTCCTTTGATCATCCAATCCACTAGGTACATACCCTGCAGTTGATTTTATTTTGTCACTTACCCCAAGACCTTCCAATGCACCATCACCTGATGCATTAGTATTGACACTAACTTCTTTCACCCCATGACTGGGAGTAGTTTGACCCCTTTCCCAGAATGCTCTGATTTCCCTTATTCTTCTTCTTACTCTTATTGCCTTCTCTGACTCACATTTCTCAGCTGGTAGCTTGTCTTCTTCATGTCCCAAGAGATTTGATTTCTCATTTTGTCGCTTGCTTTCTTGACCATGCTCTTCTTCAACTCTTGTACAGTCAAGTTCAGTTAGCGATTTGCCATGTTGCTCCTCATTCTCTTCCTCTTTCTTAGGTTTTATCCTCCCTGTAATCAGTTGTGTATCTCCTGACCTAAGTGATGTAGGTGAAATACTGCTGTGTTGTTTAATCTTTCCAGACAGTAACTCTTCCGTAACTCCTGTTTTTCCAGCCATACTGGGCCCACTGTGTTCTGAACGAAGAACTGGTGTTCTGGCTGAGAAGTCCACTTCCTCTTTGGGTTCCCTGCCTTGGGATCTAGCTGACACAAATTTCCCATCTTCAGCATCAGAACTTCTTTCAAACCCATCTAAAACTTTTGACACAGATTCATCGGCCACTTTGAGTTCATCAGCATTTTTGTCAGGCTTTAAAGTGGTTTTAGCATCTTGCTCCTCAACAAGATCAGGCTTACCTTGTTGAAGACTCGTAGAATTGGTATTTGACACCTCATGTGCTTCTGTCTTAGCAGAAAGCTGATGTTCATCTGCAACAAACAGACTTATCAGTTAGGAATCAGACACATGACTCTACAAGTGCTTGATCTAGCTTAAAATCTCTGTTAGCAGAGAAAAGAGTTCTCTGTCCTTGTGTTTTAGGAAAGAACCATACTGCAGGAAAGAAAATGAAAAATAAATTCCTGCACCAAGATATCCTCCTGGAATCATATCACTTTTGAGGGTGTGAGCTGATAAAACTGGTTATCCCCATTCTAAAGGGAATGGCTTCATGGAGGGAGGGAGCAGGCAGGCAATCCAGCATGTCTGTGTTTAGTCCCATGAGCAAATCCCCAAGTCACAGCTGGATTACTATTAAGGACACTCAGCAGCAGTACACCAAAAACACTTCAGTTCCTGTGCAGGCAGATCTATCAGGCCTCATGACAGGATTTTTATCCAAATGACGTCACTTCACTTTCATCATCCACAATAAAGGTGCCTAATTCAGGCTCTATTCTGATTGTCAATTTGAAGAATGTCAACAGAAGATCCTCTAAAAAATACTGACTACATTAGAACATTAAAATACAGAAAGTGATTTAGTATTTAATTCTGCAGTATGTAGCACATTCATACACTCACAGAATGGTTTAGACTGGAAGGGAACTTAAAACTCATCAGTTCAGCCCCTTGCCACAGGCAGGGACACCTTCCACTAGAGTAGGTTGCTCCAAGCCTGGTCCAACCTGGCCTTCAACACTGCCAGGGATGGGGCAGCCACAGCTTCTCTGGGCACCCTGTGCCAGCGCCTCAGCACCCTCACAGGGAAGAGCTTCTGCCTTATATCTAATCTAAATCTCCCCTCTGGCAGGTTAAAGGCATTCCCCCTTGTCCTTTCCCCACATGCCCTTGTGAAAAGTTGCTCTCCGTATATACTTCCTTGAACACTTCCTACTATTTCCATTTCTTAGTTGTCAATTCCTAGATACACGTGATTCAAACATTAACGAATCCATCCTATATGCTATTGCATTCTATTCATCACTCCTATTAGTCTCTTACCAGTAAAGTCTTTGTGTGATTTTGATTCATGGCGTGAGATCTGGTTGGGTTTATTCTCACATATCTCATCAACACTCGGTTCATTATTGCTATTTGGCAGGATATTGCTGGAGGTCTTCTGTGGAGTTTCAAGTTTCTTAGGAGTGACAGTCTTTGTCTGCAAGGTTTCATTGGTCAGGAAGACTGGCCTATTACTGTCACAAAGGCCGGATGCCGATGTATCTTCTTGTAAGCCATCTACTGGCTTTATTTGTAAAGCCGATGAATAGGTTCCCAAAGGATTTCCAGCAGAAATGTGCTTATTCCCAGATGAATCTGATCTAATAGCATCGTTTCCACCACTTTTTATTTCATCAGAGTCTAACAAACCAAACTCTCCTGTTTCTCTACCATGGTGTGGCTGTGGGCTTTGCAGAGGTTCTTCTTTTCTTGTGCTAGAAGAGAACCTGACTTGTTTCAGTTTTTCCAGTGAAATTTGTGTGGAGTCTTCTGCTTCTTCCCTAAGGGAATTCTCAGCTTCTCCTTCAAATATAGTTGCAGCAGGAAGACCATTCTTTTTCTGACCATCTAACACCTGACTAACACGAACTTCTGAGTCAGTGGAACTGGAGCTTGAGCTGCGCTTCAGAATGCCCCTGGGTGGTGTAGCGATGCCATTCATCCTTTCAGTCTGCTTGGCTGCTTTTGGAACAAGGTCTTCTCTTTGTGACACAGGATCTGGTGCTTTGTGAACTAGTTTCCTAGCTTTTGGGACAGGACGCTTCACTGCTTTCTGTGATTCATCAATAGGTTCCACAGAAGGTTGCTTGTGCTTCTCTGTTTCCTCACTGTGTAAGTTGGGTTTAGTAGGTTGGCTCTCTTCTGAGGGTGACAAAATTTCTGTAAGACATATATAAAGGAGAAATCATGAGTATATATGACATTCATCTGCATAAGCAGAGGTATACGACACAGTGCAGGTCTAGAACGCAGTGAGTAGATTGATTTATTAAAAACATTTGCAGTAAAGCATAAACAGAAATTCAACACAGGTGTTGATTTTGTATGTATGCAATAGGAAGACTTAGTAGATGATGATCCTATAGTTATTTCTTATTCTAGAAGTATGAACTATTTGATGATTCCAAAGATGGAGCACACCAGTTTTTCCAGCATCTTTATTCCTGCAAGGCACAAAGTTTACAGGGAAGGGCAGCTTCTGAATACACCTCTTCAGGTTCAGAAGATAAACAGCACCCTCCAGAAATGGGAACAGGCTATTTCTACCTTCATCTGAAACAAGGGAAGGTGCATGAATGATCTCCCAGTAAAGAGATGGTTTTTATTCCTAGTGTTCAAGTTTTCCTTTTCTTCTTAGCAAGTTTCATAACAGAGACATCAGAGTCATTTCCACACATAAGCCTGTAAATTAGAACTTCAAATGCCTGTGTTGCAATATATCACCACTCATCTACCTGCTTGCAGAGAATACTGCAGGAAAGGGAGCACTGGAAAATAAACAGGAATAAGAAAACAAAGGAAACAATAAAGATCAGAGAGAGTTGGGCTGCTTCTGTTGAGCCAACAGCAGCAATGACTGGAAAGACATAAAGATAACTATGCCAGATTCAGGGAAATTTCTCTCTTTAGCCATTCAGGATAAACAGCCCTTTTGGATGGGGTGTTTAATACTGACTAGAACTGTGAGTAAAAGAGAGGAAGCAAAACCCATTTACTCCCATAAACAGCCATTTCCTGAGGATATTCACATATTTTACATGGGGTTTGAAATGACCTAGTTGATAACTCCAAGCAGTTAAGATAAAATAGGTTTTGATATCTTACAAGAAGCAGCAATGAAAGTCAAAATAGTTTCCACATAGAATACCATGAAATCCACAGTCAGATGCTGAGTAAGTGCATTTACCCTTCTTTGGTAGCTGAGGTAGAGTGGCTGGTCTGTTTTCCAATTCCCCACTGTGCAAGTTATCACCTGATGCAGTGGAATTAAATGGGTTTCTCCTTTGCTATAAAAAAGAGAATGAACATTATAACTGTAGTCAAATTGTTATATCCATTCAGTCTTCACACAGTAAATCAAAGTGCAGGGATTGCCTCACTACCCTGTCAGCAAAGAGCCTGAAAACATACCTCTAAAATTGGCTGCATGACAAAACACCTCAACAATATAAGCCAGGAAACTATCAGAAGTGCTTGTGATATAGCCTCATCTTGTTCTTGCTCCACCACCAGCAGAGATAAGCCAGCACTTTAAGACACTTGAAAAATCCCAAGCTGTAAGCAAGTTAAACAATTTTATCTCTAATTCTCTGACTTTAGAGATCTCACAACACAGCAGGGCAATTCTTTTCAGAGCTTGAAGAGGCTGGAAATAACGTCAAGCACAGACAGCTGCTTCCTATAGCCATAAGAGCAATTCAGCACTGAGTTTTTAGTGGTTTTCATTATCTCCCTCCAATTAAAAAAATTCTCATTTTTTTCCAATTTATAATCTTTCTTCCTCAAATCTTGAATTATCCTTACCACTGAAGCAAAGAAACACACAAAATGTAAGAAAACTGCTGCTATATTCAATACCAGTCATACCTTTACTGAGAAGACTGCTGCCTTCATAGGTCTCTCCTCTGGTTTGTCCAACACAGAGGTTATTGTTTTAGAACTGCAAAGAAAAAAGCACAGAACACCTTCAGCAAACAGGACATACTTTAAACCTTTTTAAAAAGCAAAACAAAGATTCATTTGTACATAGTCAAATATAACTTCTTAGCACTTCAAGTTTTCTATTTAGCCTGTTCTCATGAGACTCAAAAGCAAACTTTTGCCTTTCCATAGCAAGGGATATTCTTGCTGCTTTGTTTCCTTGCAGAAGCTTCTTTGCTTTTTAAAGAACTCAATACAACTTCTAGTTGGCATAACAAAAACTATCTTTGACACTTCTAGATCTTTGAGCAAACATATATACATATATATATATATACATTCTCCAAACAATACCATCTCCATCCCTGTCCTACATTTATCCTTCTAGGAAATCAAAGTGAAGGGAAAAAAAATTCTAGCTCTCAAAGAGCTCAATATTGCAACTTCCAAATTCTTTTAAAAAGATCATGTCATGTTACAATTTTTAACCTTAGTCCACAGAATCCCAGACTGGATTGTGTTGGAAGGGACCTTAAAGCTCCTCCTGTTCCAACCTTCCACTACAGCAGGCTGCTCCAAGCCCCATCCAGCCTGGCCTTAAACACTGCCAGTGATGGGACAGCCACAGCTTCTCTGAGCACCCTGTGCCAGTGCCTCACCACCCTCACAGGGAAGAATGTCTTCCTTATACCCAACCTAAATCTCCCCTGTTTCAGTTTGAACCCATTACCCCTTGTGCTTTCACTACAGTCCTGATGAAGTCCTAATATTTTAAGTGTGAAAACACATCTATTTAAAGAAATTTTATTCTGCTGAACTGGAGTTTGTGCTCTTGCTTTAATAAAGCACTTGAATTTGTGGTTTTGTTTTTAAGAGCACCTGTGTGCTCCTGCACTTGGTATCTCAATCTCCACCATCAATTACCCAACAGGACAAACAATATTATGTTAAAGTCCAGGTTATGGACTTCAACCCTTCACTCATTTTAGACAAGGAAAACACTGATATGTATCCTGGGCTGCAAGCAACCTGTAAGACATTCTTTGGTCAGGTGGGGAGGTAATTAAGTCTCATGGAACACACGCACAATCCCACAGTGTTTTAACGCAATGCTACTTCAGACTTACCATAGAATAATTAGAGAGCTGATAATTTGGCATTGCATCCAAAACCCTGCTCTAAAGAAAACAAAATAGAGAAAAACACACACCCAGGATCCTATAACTAAGTTTCATAACAAAGGCTCTGAAAATATCAACCCATACAATGGAAAAACTGAACAAACAGTTCCCTGATATGCCGCATTCACAAGGCTAATCTATGAAACTGTGTGAAGCCAAACTGATAATTACACCCAGATTAAAGAATTCCTGCATTGCGATTCAGCAAACTAAAGTGCTGAGAACCTCAGTGGAGGCCCAACTCCACACAGACTGGACAGCACTGGACAGAAACAAAGAAGTAACAAGGCAAAGGCAAGAGCAAAGATGGAGAAAGGAGATACGGAATTGCAGGCTTTGTCAATACAGTCTACTTACAAATGGCCTCCCATTAAGAAAACAAAACAAAAATGGCCTTATCTAAGTATCCCAGCACCCCTGTTGCAGAAAAGTTACATGAAGTTATAAGGAATAGGGCTTTTGTGCAAGCTTCCACCTTGCAGAACACTTGTCGCCTGTTCAATGCAGGCTAAGAGTATTCCCTAGCCTAGGGAAGAAAGCAACCGCTAAATCTCAATTGGAAAGATAAACCCCTTTTAACACTGCCTCTTTTGGGCATATAGACAGATGGTATCAGGGAACAGAGGTAATATTGACTGACTGAGTCACCCTGTGAAACTCTTTCTGTGCAAGGTTACACCTTCAAAGCCTGTAAAGGCTCTGGCATGCAAGAGAACCACAGTGATACAAAGCCAAAGAGAAAGATAAAATTAAATGTTTACAGCTTCATTTCTGAATTCAGATATTTGGGGGGGTGGGATGCAGCCAATTTTAAGAATATAGTTGTGGGGTGATTTCTGTTCCAACTCATAAAGCAGCACCTGACTCAGCAGCAGATGAACTGGCTGAGGGCTGGTTGTGACCCTCTGCAGTTTACAAACACATCTACCAGAATGGAGCTTTCTTCATATTTAAGTAAGAATTAGTTTTGTTTAAGAATAGGATCCGGAACATAAAGTCTGAGTAATTTGTTCATAGAATCAGAATGGTTTGGGCTGGAAGGGACCTTTAAAGCTCGCCCAGTTCCAACCCACTTCCACTAGAGCAGGTTGCTCCAAGCCCTGTCCAACCTGGCCTTGAACACTGCCAGAAATGAAGCAGGAAGAACTTCTTCCTAATACCTAACTTAAATCTCCCCTCTGTCACTTTAAAGCCATTCCCCCCCATCCTATCCCTACACACCCTTTTAAAAAGTCCCTCTCCAGATTTCTTGTATTACTCTTTATCAATCATGTACTGTATTTGTGGAGCTCTAATGGAGAATAACATTCTAAGGCTGTACTTTTAAAGTATCATCATGTTTTCCTGGTGTACAGGATGACAAGCAAAATACTCTAAAAGGTATATTAAACAGCAGCATGTCTTGTGCTGTGCCTAAAAAGACATAACTCCATAATAACTTCTGCAAGTAAAAGCCACATGTAAAAAAACCTACATTCAGTAACAACTGTCAGCATTGTCAGCTGACCTGAGGGGGAAGTTAAGCTCTTTCTTGTGATAAGCAACATTTATCATCCTCATTGTATAACTTGATTTTTCAGGAAGTCTGTAACAAAGCAGTTTATCTGAACTTTTTCAGCACGATTTCAGATGCATTTAAGACAAAAATACCCCTTGGAGTTCACCAACAATGATATGTAAAGGACAGGTAGGACCAGCAATGCAAGCCAGAGTTGTTAAGACTTACACCAGCCTTTGGTGCCATTCACTATGAAGTGGTTGCCCCATTTGCAGACCATGAAAGCAAAAGATTCAATTGCTGTTAGCTTCTGTGCAAGGGCAAAGGAGGAGACAAGCTTTGCTGCAAAGAGAAAACAGATGAGGTACAGAGAAGGGCTTCAAAAGACAGACAAGAAAGTGAAAGCTTAACAGAGCACATCAACAATACAACCAGAATTAAACTAGTCATCCTAAGGAGTAACTCTGGCTCTTACGTCTCTCTACTCCCTGAAAGCACAAACAGTAGTAGCTGTGTTACACCCTGCTTCTTGTCTCCTCAATGGAGCTGAGGAATCTGGCCATTTAAAGGCATCTAATTTCTACCTGCTTTGCCCTAGCTAAGAGATCAGCACTCTCCATTTCAAATGCAGGCTTTTTGAAAGCTTCACACAAGCCAATGCATTACTATACACAGGTATTTTAAAGAGAACACGGCTGTTAAAGACCAACTCAGGATATTTCAAAACAAAACTAAGCTGTTTGGGGTGTTCGCAGACTTGAGATAGAGTGATTTAATACCAAATCCTCTGTAGTTCACGAACTATCATCCAGCATTCCTGTAACAACTACAGCCCGGGCATAACCAAACCGACTATCTTCCCTTATTCTGAATGGAAACCTCTCACTTCCAGAAAGGCATTTATTTTTCTTGGTACAATCTGACTTATTTTCCACAAGAATCCAAAAGATTCTGGTTTTTTTTCCATCTGAAATACATTTGGTTTCCTTAAAAAGTCTCAGATTATTAAATGTGCACCCCAAAAACCTTGGAAAATTCTAAAGAGTCATTTCTCAGTCTTATTCTTTGTATGATCCAAGCTTAATCAAGAGTCTGGTCTTATTAAGTGGCTGACTGAAGGGATGCAGGGGTTATTGTGCCCCTGTTACTAACTGTGAAGGACTGATCATGGCCAACCATTGTATCTAGAAACTCACAGTCTTGCTTCTGGGAGCCAGACTAACTTGTGACATGAGGACATGTGTGGGACCATTCTACACACCACTAACAACTTTTGCCTCAGAGAGGTAAGCTGAAGGTTGTTCTGCATTTGGATACAGAACAATTAAATGCATGACTCTGGTTTATCAAACTTCCACATGCATTGATTCCTTGGGCAATAATGAGGAAACATTTGATGACCTCTGAAGTAAGAGGCAAGTACAGTATTTTGGATGGAATTTACAGCTTACAAATTTCACCAGTCCTGATCACACATACTAAGTGTGATTAAACAGACAACTTACCTTGAACTGGATTTCAGTTGTTCCTCTTCTTCTTGGTGTTCCACAATACCATGTAGTTCTGGCAGCACAAAGACTTCTTTATTAACATTGCTCACCCAGCTGTTCTTCACTTTGTTTGATTTGCTCTGACTCACTTCAGCTAAAACATGAAACAAGAATATTGTTGTCTCCCCTATGTTCATACAGGATTTTTTGAACCATCACATACAAGTATTTGCATTCAGTCCTACAGCTATTGCAAAGTCCTGTACTTGAACTGTGCTCAGAAGCAGATCTGGTGCCATCTGAAAAGACGGGTGTTTTAATATTACTAGAAATCATAAAATTGTAGAATAGTTAGGGTTGGAAAGGACCTTAAGATCATCCAGTTCCAACCCCCTTGCCATGGGCAGGGACACGTCACACTAAACCATGTCACCCAAGGCTCTGTCCAACCTGGCCTTGAACACTGCCAGGGATGGAACATTCACAACCTCCCTGGGCAACCCATTCCAGTGCCTCACCACCCTAACAGGAAAGGGTTTCCTCCTTATATCCAATATAAACTTCCCCTGTTTAAGTTTTAACCCATTACCCCTTGTCCTGTCACTGCAGTCCCTAATGAAGAGTCCCTCTCCAGCATCCCCCCCTTCAGATACTGGAAGGCTGCTATGAGGTCTCCACGCAGCCTTCTCTTCTCCAGGCTGAAGAGACCCAACTTCCTCAGCCTGTCTTCATACAGGAGGTGCTCCAGTCCCTTGATCATCCTTGTGGCCCTTCTCTGGACTTGTTCCAACAGTTCCATGTCCTTTTTATGTTGAGGACACCAGAACTGCACACAATGCTCCAGGTGAGGTCTCACAAGAGCAGAGTAGAGGGGCAGGATCACCTCCTTCGACCTGCTGGTCACGCTCCTTTTGATGCAGCCCAGGATACGGATGCTTTCTGGGCTGCAAGCGCACACTGAAGCCGGCTCATGTTCATTTTCTCAGCAACCAACACCCCCAAGTTTTTCTCCGCAGGGCTGCTCTGAATCTGTTCTTTGCGCAAGCTGTAGCTGTACCTGGGATTGCTCTGATAATCATAGAATCCCAGATTGGTTTGATTGGAAGGGACCTTAAAGCTCACCTAGTTCCAGCCCCCTATCATGGGTAGGGACACCTTCCACTAGACCAGGGTACTCCAAGCCCCGTCCAACCTGGCCTTGAACACTGTCAGAGATGGGGCAGCTACAGCCCCTCTGGGAACCTTGTGCAGCACCTCACCACCCTCACAGGGAAGAGCTTCTTTCTTATATCTAATCTAAATCTACCTGCTACCCCACACTAAGGATTCCTTAGTGTACAAAACTAAGCAAGATTTTTGTTTTCACTATCACTATCCATAACTGCAAGCAAAAATATCTTGACATCTAATGAGTCATTGAAAGCAATCAATTGTACATAGTTCTGAATGTACCAGTACGCCCCTTTGTTCAAGTAACAAGACTGGGGAGTAATTACCCTCCTTTAACATAATGTGGCTTTAATTACTTTCCTTTAAACTATAAATCACTGTAAAATTGAGCTACAGTTTTACAGGTGATTTTCATAGCCTGCAAATTGAAAACCAGCCAAACCCACAAACACACCGCACTAACCTTTGATTTTTTTAAGTCTTTTCTGTTTCAGGCCTTTTCTTGTCAACTTAAAAAGCCGAAACCATCACACTGTAACCTCAAACTGATTAAACTGCCCTTATCCCTCTGGGAATATAGGATCTTAGAAGGTGTAACATTTCAGGATTAGACACAGGAAGACGAGGCTAAGTTGTGGTTACAAAACCTATAGAAAGATAAAGGTATACAATATGCTGTAATGTATACACGGCATTGACAGAAATACTTACTTGCTTCAAGAGCACACAGCAAAATCCCTTAATAGAACTTTAACTATCAGTACAAGAGGATAAGAAGAGTCTTGCCCTTGTAAGCCAAAAGGATTTAGTAAAACTAGAGGAGGTAAAGAGGGATGAGGGTCAGTTTCTCTAAGAAACAGAAGAAAAATTCTGTCCAAATAATAACAAAATGGAGCAGGACTCCCTAGATTAGAAAGTCAGATGTTGAGAGATTTCTAACAGAAGTCTACAAAATCCTGTATGCTGTATTATATATGTTTTTGTGAATAGAGATCAACTGTTCAGTTGGCTTCCCAACGATAACGGTGATCAGTTCAGTCACTTCTTATGTGGAAAACATGCATTTTAAAATGCCTCAGACAGGACATGGTGAACGTTAGAGGCATGGCTTTAAAGAACTTCTTAAAGAAATTAATGGGGAAAAATAACCCAGGAATACCTCCTCTACATCAAAACAGTCTGAGGTGCAAGTGTTTGCAGGCTGGTCCTGGCCTTGGAGCACATGCGTGCTGCCAGGCACCCAGAGCTGGGTGCTGAGCTTTTGATCTGCTCCAGCAGAGCAGCTCCTATGTTCTCTTTTGGTTTGTTTCTCTCCAAACAATACACTGTATTTATTTCTAATGTCAAATACAATGCATTATCTTCCCACACTCTGATTTTCTTAAAAGAAGAGCTTCAGAATATAGTATTTATTATCAAGTGAGCCCAAAGCTCATCAATATCTCAATTTACACACAATACACTACTACCTATTTGTACTATTAAATGAATGTCTGCAACTTATCTGGTACATGAACACAACTGGCTTTAACAAACACTTCTAATAGATCGTCTGGGGGCACCCACCATGATGTAGGGGATGGTGGGTGTATTTAAAAGTTAATGTGGACACAGAGTGCCAGGTCTGGCTGCCAGAACTCCAGCACGGATTTCAGTAGTTACAACCTCTAGCTCGTGGTGCCAACCACTGAACTTCAGAGGTCTCAAGAAGCACCTGAAATCTTGGAAATTTATACATAAAAAGCAATTCCCTCAATCTCTGATTCTTTGCATGTTCCAAGACAGCTCAGAGGGCCTCAAGAATAGAAGTAAGAAGGCATCAGGAGTGCAGAGAGCTTATAGTCCTACACAGAAACACAAGACAGTCCATCCTGTTAGTCATCACACAGAATCCTCTCTTTAAATGGGGAGAAGAAAGTTTACACTGCAAACTCATGGGAAATCTCTTTTTTGCATCATTTTCTGGTAATGGACACCAATATTCTTGTATTTCACAGACAACAGAGTCTGAAGTTAGCAAAGCAAAAACCAACCTTCTCAAAATGAAATGTAAAGCAAATGCTTACCAGGATGTGCAGGCTTCCGGCGCATGGAAGCTCTGATAATATCTGCTCCATGTACCGTATCTCTGTGCCTCTTGGACTTGGCTTCGTAAAACCACTGCCCGCTCATGTTCTTGAGCTGAACATCATCCTTGACTTTCTCTGGTAAACGCCTGAGGGGAAAAAGGAATAAGTGAGACAGGCAATCTACTTACCTGTGTTAACAGAATCAAAGTCAGATTTTGGGGGCTTTGGGGAAGCGGGTTGTGATTTGGGATTTGGTTGGCTGGTTTGGGTTTTTTTCATGCTATCTCAGCACACTATTTCCATCTTGTGATCTGTTAGTTCCTTAGTTAATTATGAAGGATGACAACTAGCTGGAAAGAGAAGCCTCAGCCCTGTTACCCTTAAAGCTTCAGCTGAAACAGCTCTTACAAAAATATATGTGTATTTTGCCACGATAAATTCTCAAGCAGAGAAAGCTCTGAAGGAGTCTCCACTAACTGCAGATCTTGAGTTTTGCCTTCAAAGGATAAAACTGAGATAAGCTAGCAGGGCAGCTTTAGAAGTCTCTGTCAAAATTAAGTCTGTTGCTGGTTTAGGGCTCAGAAGGTGCCTCTTTAGGATCTTCATAGAATCATAGAATAGTTAGGGATGGAAAGGACCTTAAGATCATCCAGCTCCAACCCCCCTGCCGTGGGCAGGGACACCTCACACTAAACCATGCCACCCAAGGCCTCGTCCAATCTGGTCTTGAACACTGCCAGGGATGGAGCATTCACAACCTCCCTGGGAAAACCATTCCAGTGCCTCACCACCCTTACAGGAAAGAATTTCCTCCTTATATCCAATCTAAACTTCCCCTTGTTTAAGTTTTAACCCCTTACCCCTTGTCCTATCACTACAGTCCCTAATGAAGAGTCCCTCTCCAGCATCCCTATAGGCCCCCTTCAGATACTGGAAGGCTGCTATGAGGTCTCCACGCAGCCTTCTCTTCTCCAGGCTGAACTGCCCCAACTTTCTCAGCCTATCTTCATACAGGAGGTGCTCCAGTCCCCTGATCATCCTCATGGCCTCCTCTGGACTTGTTCCAACAGTTCCATGTCCTTTTTATGTTGAAGACACCAGAACTGCACACAATGCTCCAGGTGAGGTCTCACAAGAGCAGAGTAGAGGGGCAGGATCACCTCCTTTGACCTGCTGGTCACGCTCCTTTTGATGCAGCCCAGGATACGGTTGGCTTTCTGGGCTGCATGCACACACTGAAGCCGACTCACGTTCGTTTTCTCATTGACCAACACCCCCAAGTCCTTCTCCACAGGGCTGCTCTGAATCTCTTCTCTGCCCAACCTGTAGCTGTGCCTGGGATTGCTCTGACCCAGGTGTAGGACCTTGCACTTGGCATGGTTAAACCTCATGAGGTTGGCATCAGCCCACCTCACAAGTGTGTCGAGGTCCCTCTGGATGGCATTCCTTCCCTCCAGGGTATCAACTGAACCACACAGCTTGGTGTCATCGGCAAACTTGCTGAGGGTGCACTCAATCCCACTGTCCATGTCAGCGACAAAGATGTTGAACAAGACCGGTCCCAACACCCATCCCTGAGGGACACCACTCGTTACTGGTCTCCAGCCGGACATTGAGCCATTCACCACAACTCTTTGTGTGCAGCCATCCAGCCAGTTCTTTATCCACCGAGTGGTCCATCCATCAAATTGATGTCGCTCCAATTTAGAGACATCATGTGACACTGCTTTTATACACACATCCCGAAAAGGTATTGGAAAGATGGTTTTATTTTTTCCATAGGTTATACAAAAATCCTTGTAGAAACACAAGTTACAAAGGAAGACAGCATCTCATGGAAGAAACAACAAAATAAGGTTGTGCAGTTTATTCATCTACAAATCCCAGACTGGTTTGTGTTGGAAGGGACCTTAAAGCTCATCCACTTCCACCCGCCCCGCCACAGGCAGGGACACCTTCCACTAGAGCAGCTTGCTCCAAGCCCCTGTGTCCAACCTGGCCTTGAACACTGCCAGGGATGGGGCAGCCACAGCTTCTCTGGGCACCCTGTGCCAGCACCTCAGCACCCTCACAGGGAAGAGCTTCTGCCTAAGAGCTCACCTCAGTCTCCCTTCTGGCAGGTTAAAGCCATTCCCCTTGTCCTGTCCTTATAGGCCTTGTAAAAAAGTGGATCCACCACATAAACTGCAACCATTTTAAATACTGTGAAGCACATCTTTAATAATTTGCTTTCAGGCTGCATGGTCACTCTGCTTCTATGAAACATTCTTTGAGGAGGCTTTGTTTGCCATTTGAGAGGTTGCTGTCTTTCCTCATTAGGAATATAACACATAAGGCATGTGCTCATACATGGCCTGGAGACTAACCTGAACACCAGGAAAGTTACTAGACAGCTTTGGAGAGTACTTGATGAAAAAGTCAAGTCAGGCTTCATCTGCCTTCTCTGTTTATGTCCTTTCCTGCAGCAAACAAGCTAATAACAGAGCTCAGGGGAGAAACCAGAACAAATCAAGTTAATTGGAGACTTTAAGACCAAACATTGTCTACATTGCTGCGGGATGCTGCTATTTTCTACAGGCCTGATGGCCAATCACGGAATGGTTTGAGTTGGAAGGGACCTTCAAAGGTCATCTAGTCCAACCCTAAGGAGGTTCATGCCAGTTTTATCTTGTCCATGAGATTAGGAGAAGGAACTTCCAGTGCTACCAAGTAGCTCTGATGACAGTGTTCATTGTAGGTTGAAGATTTGACTGTCAAGTACACACAACCATTCAAAGCAGAGAAAGGGCACTGAGACAGTCCCAACCCCACACTAAGACCATTCTCACCTACCACTCAACTTCTCCTTTATCCAGAAATGAAAAGGCTTATTTGAATGCATCAGCTCTATTAGCATTTGAATACCTGAACTTTTTTTTTGGCAGCACTGTCAACAGTCTGTCCCTCCTGGGTGTTTAAAGAACTTCCCTGTCTCCAATCAGCTACACACAGCTGAGGCTGCAAGGAGTTGAGGTCACCACTGGCATTTCTAATGCCAAGATTCAACAGTCCGTAGCATGACTGGGCCATTTAAGATCTGGCCCTTCCTCTTGCTTATAACTCTAAGAGCCAAAATACATACCTCTCATATGCTGCAGGTCTTCCAAGTTGGAGCAGGAACAGAGCAGTAGCTTCTCTCTGTCCTCAAGCAAACACATTACTCAGGTATGAGCCAACTCCTTGTTGTTCAGGCAGTTTATGAACACAGCCAGCAGGAATAGTGGAATGCAAGCAATTTTTACACAGACGATTGCTTCTCCCTTTCACCTTCTTTCCCCTGTGTTATTTGTCTTAGAACAGACGCTCCTTAGGGCTGGGGATGGGCTCTTCAGCTGTTTGCACAGCCTGCAGGGCAAGCAGAGCTCTGACCTCAGCTAGTGCCGCAGGGCAGTGTGACAACACATGCCGAGGGAGGTGCTCTGGAGGGATGGCACTGAGTCACAGGACAGGTATTCAGTGCTCTCACCCCGAGGCAGTCTTTTACCCCAGACACTGCTCACTCCGTTCCCCTCTATTCAACCACTGAAACTAGGGTGTGGTAGGAGAGCTGTACAAGTCAGCTCACACCAATCAGAGCCCTATCCACTGTAGAAGTGGATGGGACTCTCGGGTGTGTCAGCCTATGTACCTGCTTGTGGGACACTCAGAACTTTGACTAACATAAGCAGGACAGAGACAGAGGATTTGTCATGGCTCTGGACTCATTAAACATCACTCATGGCAATTGTAGCTGGATGGAAGCAAATGTCAGGCACCTTGCTCCCACCCCTGCTTATGGAGTTAACTGTACCTTAACTTCACCAGCTCAACAGGCCTTATAGACTTTGGGAGGTAACTGTGCTGCTAACAAAGGTACAAACCTGCTCTCCATCTACAGTACTTCCTTTACAAGTGACCTGTCTGGATTATAGGGTTTGTATGGTAAGAAGTGACAGAAGCTCATAACTTGTAAACTACTTTTGCCTTCTCTTCTCACCTTCATAGCACTTGACCTTTGCTGGCTTGGCTTACTCATCTACAAGAGAAGTATTTAGCCTTTCAGTTCCATCTTTTGAGGAACTAAGAGCAATATTAAAGCTTTTCCTAGGCATTGCCTAGCCACAAATAAAGCAGCAGATTTCCATCCTCGGACAGTTAGCTCTAGGTCTTGGCAAGGAAAATAACTTTCAAGCAGCCTGTGTGCACCAGGACATCACAGACTTGTTGCAAAACTGAGGTTAGAGACTGGAAGTTTTAGAGTGCTGCTTGAATCCTTAAGCTCTGCTATGAGCAGGCCCTACCAGCAATACCAAACTGCTGGTACTGTGTGGGTCTGTTTCACTGCTAGGCATTAGGCTGTGATTTATCTTGAAAGGAACTGTAGGGAAATGAGGCTGCAGCCAGGGATTTCCAATGTTACGTGTGCCTCCCAGCACACCACAACAAGGTTAGAAGCCAAGAGCTGATTCGACCCCAGGTTCCCAGTCAACAGAAAGGCAAACCATGTTGCCATTACCTTGTTTTCTTCTTGGTACCACGGAACTAGTGGGTACCCAGATTAAAATTCAGATTGCAGGCTCAGCTGGCAAGTTTGCAATTAGAATATGTAATAACAGCTTTACATATGTTGTAAGCATGTATCCCAAGTCCCTCAGTGGTCTCTTATAATGCCAGTTAACCCAGATTGCAGTTTTCAGAGTGAAACAGCTTAAGGTTATAAAAAGGTAGTGCTTGTTTCTTCTATAGAAACATTAAACTTAAGAAAATGAAGGTCAGTTAGAAGGAATTTGCTCCAAATCCTCTTTAAGTCTGAGCTCACCCTTTACTTAATATGATTTTTCCAACTATAGAGTCATAGAATGGTTTGGGTTGGAAGGGACCTTAAAGCTCATCCTGTTCCAACCCCCTGCCATTGGCAGGGACACCTTCTACTAGAGCAGGTTGCTCCAAGCCCTGTCCAACCTGGCCTTGAACACTGCCAGCGATGGGGTAGCCACAGCTTGTCTGGACAACCTGTTCCAGTGCCTCAGCACACTGACAGGGAAGAATTTCCTCCTTGTATCTAACCTGAAAACCTTATATCTAATCTATGCCTTGGTGAAACACTTGATGGCAAGATGACAAGACT